TTGTTAAGTAGATATTTATATCCACTGAGGAAACGGCTCACTTCCGTTATGCTCTTCCCGGCAACATCTTCAATATTTACGAAGATGACTAGAAATCTAGTTTCCCCTTCTTTTGAGCTTTTGCAACTTCGGCATACTTCGTTAAAACGGATTCCCAATCTACCGGTATGTTCATCAATTGGCCATCAGTGTCATGGCCCAAATTTCGTCATTCTAAGACAGAAGTTCGTCATAGACAGAAAGTGGAGGTAAATGTCTTTTTCATGGTATTGAGGGAAGCAGGGGCGCCGACTGCGTGGGTAGTCGGGTGTCGCAGCACTCATGAGAGAAAAACGGTGGGTGCGGAGCACCCACGAGCATAAGCATGAAAAAATATCGGTTTAGCAACAGTAAAAACAATCTTCGGATTGTCACGGGGTTTCTAACAGGACACTGTCTCCTCAACGAACACCTCAGCATACAGCTTTAGCCTAAGCTGAGAAAACAACGGCGAATGCAGATTCTGTGGGGAAAATGGGGAAACACTCAGACACTGGCTTTTGTTAAAGCCCTGGGACTTTATGATGAGTTATAACTCGTTGTAACTCAAGAAAGCGGAACACACAATAGATCTGTAAGGTCGTGATGATTAACTATCTTCCTAAACATTCTACATTATCGTGGTCGTAAGTTCTGATGCCCTCGATGTCCCTGTACCCTGGAATCCAAAGCAAAGCTGTATCGGTTATTTCCATGTTTACTTATTTCTCTGGTAGAACTCTAATATTCTCATCACGCTGACGCTTTTGAAGAGCCGATAAAGGAAATTTCTTTCACGATGCAATTAGGCGGGCCTGGTCAATTATTTGAAAGTCTTCCTTTGCAACGAAAATAGCCGATTTAATCACAGCTCGCGTCCATCGATAAAATGAAAAGAGAAAAAGTCGCTCTCTCTATCGCAGCTAGCGTTCTGCATTAATTTGTTTACGTCCGCGTTTTTTTCGTAATTAAATCGCTCATTCCGGCCGGCAATAATTTCCGATCAACCGGTGTTGCGTCTTCCATGCAAATGACCAGCCATTAGCTCTTCCACGGTGCTTTATTGATCTTGGTAAATAGAAATTGCAAACAGTTTGAGTTTGATTTAATTAAGTTTACTGTGACGTAAGAGCAACAAGTTTTATAATAAAATAATTTAGAAATAAAAAAACCTACACTGAAAAAATTAATTTGTGAATTTAATAACAATTTCTTGCCACAGATTATTGTAGTAAATTTACCATCCGTTCTTTAGTTTTACAACTCGTTTGTAAAATCGCTATATGGCTAATTTGTGGCATGTACGTAAATATGTAATAATATATACTCCAGGGTTGTCGCAACTAACGTCGCATCCTCACGCCTAACCGCCACCTGTTACGATCAAGAACATCTTCCTCTTCCAAGTTACGGTCCTCCATTGCCCTTCTGAGGGCCTCATTCCAGGATCTTCTAGGCCGTCCTCTTTTCCTTTTTCCAGGAGGTGACCAGCTGTAGATACGGTAGGGCCATCTTTGGTGTTCCATGAGTAGCAAGTGTCCAAACCACTTATGGCCCCTCTGTTCGACTCTATCCACTATTGTCTGTGTGGCATCCATTTTGGCTCTGATTTCCACGTTCCTAACTCTGTCAAGTTTAGATACTCTCGCACTGCATCTCAAATAGTCCATTTCGAGTAAATTTTAAGCTCGCTTTTGTTCAGCTTTTAAGGTCCAAACTTCACACCCATAAGTTACTACGGACTCCACTAGGGCTCTTCCAATATGTACTTTTGTGTTTGGTCTTATTGTCCCATTTGGTTTTTGTCCCAACAGATGCCATTCAGTGCTCCTATAATCTTCCGCCCTTGTTCTATTCTAGCAGATACTTCTGTTTTGTCCAGTCCCTTTCTGGTTATACGTGCCCCCAAATATTTAAACCATTCAACCTGTCTGAGCAGTAATAACAGCCTGCATTGTCAGTAATAAAAATGTCAAATTTATCATCTGGTAATTGGTCACTAGGTATTCCGTTTTATCAATGTTCACAGTAAGGCCCCATTCCGTGTATGCCGAATTTAACCTGCTCATCGTGAATTCAAGGTCGTAAGCACCTTGAGCTATGACCACCTGATCATCGGCAAAATTCAATGTAACCAAACAGTCATCTCCTACAGGGACGCCCATTCCCCCACACCTCTTCTTCCAGTCCCATATACAGATTAAATAAAAGAGGCGACAGAGGACATCCCTGTCGATGGCCTTTAGTTGTAAAAATTACCTCAGACAGTTTGTTACCGCTCTTAACACGAGCTATGTTGTTGTTGTACAGCACCTTAATTAAATTTATGAGATATTCATCCACATCAAGTTGTTCCAGTATGTACCATAGTTTAACTCTGGGGATGGAGTCGTAAGCTTTTTGAAGGTCTACAAAAGCTAGATGTGTATCTTCTTCACGTGAATTCCGTTTTTCTATCAGTTGTTGGATAGTAAATAGATTATCTATTCATGAACGCCCTGCAGTAAAGCCACTCTGCTCTTCACTGATTTTGTTGTAAGTAGATAATTCTAACTTATTCCTAATTATTTTTGTAAAAAGTCTGCTGAAGGTGCAATTCACACTAAGACCTCTGTAGTTATTCGGGTCTTTTCTGTTCCCTTTTTTATATATAGAAGTGATATAGGCTAACTTCCATTCATTAGGTATTTTATTCCGATCTACACACATCTGCATTAAGTTTGTTATTTCTGTTATAAGACATTCTCCGCCATATTTCAGCATTTCAGCCATAATGCCACCCGGTCCTGGAGCTCTACTATTTTTCATAGACACAATGCTTGTTTAACTTCCTCAATCGATATGTTTGTTCTAGGTTCTGTAATAGTGACGGCTTCATTGTTTTGCAAAAACTGTGGACGTTGTTCTATTAATAGGTTTTCATAATGTTTCCTCCAATCAATTAAAGATATAGTTCCCGTCCATCGTTCACGCGTATTTGTTTTCATCCCCTTCAGAGTTCTCCATGCTTTCGTAGATCGTGATCCCCCAATGTAAGTTTCAATATCATTGCATTTTCTTTCCCACATACTATTCTTTTCCTCAGTTACTTTTTGTCGAACTTCCTTTTGTAACTTCTTATATGCTAGCCAATTTTTATCTGTTGGATTTCCTTTCTTTTCACTTATCTTCTCTTCAAGCTTATCCGTCATTCATATAGGTTGGTTCTTGATTTGCTCCTTATATCCTACAGCTTCCTGCATTGCTTGATGTACGGCTTGTGTAATTCGGGTATGCTCTTCTTCAATAGTATGCTTGGGTCGTTTTTTCTGCAAATGATGTTTGATGCGTCGTTGGTAGAGGTATTTAATACTGTCATCTCCTAACAAGTTGACTTTATATTTTGGATTTGACAGAGTGACTTGCTCCGTTTCAGCTTCTGCTGTGTCATATTTGTTGTTTGTATTTTTGTTCATGTAAGGATAAATCATCTCAGAGACAACCATAAAATGATCCGACCCACAATTCGCTCCTCGTTTTACAGTGACACTTTTTATCTTTTCTTGGATAAATTGTTTAGTAATTATAAAGTCGATAATTGATTTCTGACCCAAAGAAGGTCGTGTCCAAGTATACTGATGAATCCGTTTATGCTGGAAAAAGGTGTTGTTAATTTTCGTATTATATTGTTTGCATGTATTCACCAATCTGTTACCACTGTCATTTGTATCTGGGTCTCCAAAACCTTATGTTATAATCTATCTTTATATTCACCAATGTTCTTTGTGAATTTATGTAAAAAATGTGTATCTCATAGTAAATTTACTTATTCATTGCAAATTTATCTTTTAAAATCGCCAACTACTATTACTATAGAGTAGCAACAAATTTAAACATTTTATTATAGTGAATTTACAATTACTTTTGTAAATTCACAAAGCGTTAGTAAATATTAATAAATTTAATAAAACACGTGTTTATAATTATAATATTTAATATAAAGGTTAATAAAAAATCACAAAACAGAACTTATGTAAGATACTCAATGCCATCTCTTCTTGTCTAGAGGAACCTTACTGGAATTTTAAGCCTAACCAAAATAGAAACAAAATTGCCATTAGATACAAAATAAAAAAAACATGTAAGAAAAAGATATCTAATCAAAACAGTCACCTTACCAACTAGAGACTATGGATGAATGTTTTAGAGTCCTCTACTCCGGTCCTCTATTAAATTTGTCCTCCAAAACACAGTCTCAAAGAATAATTAGTACTTGAGATATGTTGATATAGAGAGACAATAAAGAGAGAACAATTACGTTTACATAGAAAAATCGCTAAAATTAAAGTGCAAATAATTATAATAAATGGAGATTGTGTTTTCTAAGAGGGTTGGCTTTTATATTTACAAAAACTACATGTAAACATAATTAATATGATATACTTACGCTTAAATTATAAAATCACTAATCACCCACGCTCTGGGGCTTTCTCCTGAAATGTTCCTCGTCTTTACTTCTAACTACGTTTTCAATCCATTATTTAATGCGCAAGAGCTTTACAAGAAGTCACGTCATGTGGCATAATTTTTTAATAAATATATTATGGTAAATTTACATAAGTTTTGTGGATATGTCTAGACACATGCAATTTTACTACAAGATTGTATTTCTGATTTAAATTTAATTTTTAAACTCACGAAACTCATTGTGAAAATAATATCCATTTTCTAATAATCATTTAATATTAATAAACTGTTTTTCAAAATTAAATTTTTTTGTGAAACTATGTAAAAATATCTTATTTTTACATGTTTCTTATTAAAAATACTATGGTGTATCAATATTTTTTTTTGTAAAATTACTTATATTTTTTTCAGTGTATAAGACATGAAGTAAAGTTAAAAAACTCAACTTTGTTATAAATTGTAATTTCATCAATTTAAAAATAAAAGAGTCTTTTTGACATACGACATAAAAATTCTAATCCATATTTTTTTTGTAGCAATTCACATCGGCAGGAGTTATAGAACAGGCCTCCTACATTTTGGTAGCAGTGGGAGCTTTTATGTTCCTCGTCAGTTTTCTGGGATACTGTGGAGCCCTAAAGGAATCCAGATGTATGCTCACTTTGGTAAGTACTATACAAATTATTCTACTTCTTCGTGTGTATATACAGGGTGGTTCGAACTGCATTCCGCAAACTTCGGCAGCATATTCTGCAGATAAAAATAAGTAAAAAAGTTTCAAAAGTTTGTATAAATGTATGTCTTAAAATGCTTAGTTTCGGAGATACAGAGTGTATAAATTTCATTTTAATTTCGATTTTTTCCAAATAATTTCTGAAGTAACGTCAATATTTGGATGAAAATTGGTGTCTGGGAGTTTTTTGACATGATAAATTTGATTTTGATGTCAATATGACTCCTACTTGTAAAGGGCGCCACCTACATATTTTTTAATTGGTGTGAAGAGTAATACAGCTTTTGATTTTAAACTGACATCCTCGGCATTTTTTACTTTATTCGATAGAAAATGACACTCTGAATAGAATGACATATCATATGTCAACCTTTGACATTTTGGCATATTATAGTTTATTTCTAAGGTGTTATTGTAACAAGCAGTTCATAATGACAATTTGACTCAGAATACTGTAGTGTAACAACCCAAATTCGTCAACAAAGTTGAAGAGGTAATATTTTGGCCAACTGTATATTTGGCCAACTGTATAACAAGAAATTTATTATTTAAATGAAAGAAAGGAACCTACGTTGTGTTACATATTTTTTTATTATGATTACCTCGGATGCGCCTCGACAGGAGCAATATTTTGGGAAATTTGATGAGAATAGGTTATGTAAATAAAACGCTAAATTTGTAAATAGCCCTACTTATTTTATTAAATGAAATGAAAGGAGTGCCGTACTCTGCCTGGAATTCACATGTAAAAGAGCACGGCAGAGAAAACCATGATCACTATTCCAGAGAATTTAACTATGCTGTTCTGAACTTAAATAAAAGAAAAATAATAATTTAGAAACTGTCCTTATACCTAGGTTTATAGCTTAATACATTCAAAACATGCCACATTTATATCGTTCAAAACTGAAGAGTTTTTTGTTAGTTTAACGGGTCCCCACCCGTAGGTACGAAGTCCCTTATTGCGGAATCGACGCTAAAGTTGAAGGTTTGGTGCCAATATCTTATAATTTAATAAATTATAAGTTATTCTCTTTATTGTTTTTGTTTGCCCTTTTGCGAGCAGCTAAGATATTCGCCCATGCACGGTCGAAAATTAGTTAATACACTCAACAAGGCCCTTATTCTCACAAACTACAAACATCGGCACGAAAGAACAGTAAACGATTTTATTTAGATTACTTTAAAAACTGAAATTATTTACAGCATATAAATAGATTCCATTAAATGCATACACATGTTATATATTGTCTTTGTCAGATCAAATGAATAAGGAAAAGCTTTAGAACAGAATTACAACAAGAAAACAAAATAATATGATTTAGTTAACATTATTTAAATAATGAGAAAACATTTACTTTACCTTTAATCACATTCTTTGTCACAGAACTCAAGAACCAAAATAATATCAATGCGTCTCGAATGGTAGTCTAGAAGCTATTATCTAACAACTATCATCTCTGTTCGTCGCCTGATTTCCCTCTCTCTAGTTTATGAATATTCTAAAAATCAATAATTTTATTTATGTATACAGAGTGTCTTAAAAATGAATGTTTTGAATTTAAATAAATATGTCTATTTTTAAATTGGCGGTTCATCTCAATACCAAGTGTCTGGTACCAAATTATTCGTAAAAAACCTGTTTTTTTTCCAAATATGTTAATGAGCCTCGTTTAAATAACTCTAGATTGAAATTTAGAATACTATTTTTTAAGCGAAAATGTCATAAGTTGATATATGATATGTCACTCTATACAGAGTGTTATTTTCTATCGAATAAACTAAAAAAATTCCGAGGTTGCCATTTAAAAATCAAAAGTTGTAGTCATTTCCGGCGAAACAGGAAGTGACCGAAAACAACTGAAGGGTCCACGGGAAAAACTTCATAAGCGCCAATTTCTTAATTTTAGGAATTTGCAATATTATAGTAGGTTTAACTGGTCCCTATAAAATGTACAAACTCTGCAGGGCAATAAGTTGTTAAATCCTATGACATATGCCTACTAAAAATATAGAATACACGGAAATAATCTGATAACCACCAGCCGTCCAGTGCTCTCCTATAAAATTAGTAAAATGGCACTTATCATATTTTCCCCTGGATATCTTGTTTTTTTGTCTGAAAAAATAAAAAAGGTACATAGAGGTGAGCTACTTTTTGAGAAAAAAAAACGGTATATTTCACCAAAAACATAAAATGTAAAAATAGCATGTCTCGATACATGGCAATTAATATTCAATCAATTATCAATTATTTATTAACATTTATAGTTACCGGCTATACCTACTAATCGTTAATACAGTGTTTTACTTCTTATTATTTAAATTTTCCTTGTTATAAATAGAGTAATAGGAAAGCTTAATAATATATGCGTATTTGCGTATGTGTCATGTTAAGTGACGCCAGTAATACGATTATTATTATTTTATTGTCTAATAAAAATCCAAAAACGTATACCGTTATTAACATAATGATTTCGCATATCATATATGATTAAACGATATAATAAAACCAGGATATGGTCTTAATAATTAGGCAAATAATAATTAAACACGGGAATCTGAAGAGATTTAAGGGAATTAGTTATATTTGTTTGCTAGATGAATCACTAATAAGTGCTATACTTACGAGATCATTACAGATATTTACTGCTACAATTTTAAAAGATTCTCTTAGTAATCTGTCACATGAATTTTTATTTTTAAATTGTTAAAATCCTAGATTAATGTTAATTAAAATTGATAGTATAAAGTTACATGTTTACAAAATATTTTCGACATAGACAATAGATAGACTAACCATTAATACATACAGGGTGGCGCACCTTATTCGCCTCGGTTGATTATACGAAAACGGAAAGACGTAGAAACAAAATATTTTATGAGTATATGTGAGGAGACAATGTGCACAATTTAAAATTATTTTGAAATATACGGGGTGCTTCAGAAGTAAGATCCATACCAAAGTTATATCTTTTCTTATGGAACACCCGGTATTTTATTTCATTTTTGGATTCTTGGGCCCAAAAAAAGGTATTTATTGAGAGGGTCACTGCAACCGAGGCGAATGAGGTGCGCCACCCTGTATATTGATTTGTTTTGACCTAACATCGTCATTTCCAGCTTATTCAACCTTTTCCTCACATATTTAGATAATCTTCTTGTAATTCGGTCCATTTATCTGCTAAAAAAACAAAAAAGGTTCTTTAAATAGTTCTTTTTCGTTGTTCTTTGTGTTTTTTTTAGTTTTGAAGATATAGGGAGGAGATATATTTTTCTCCTGAAACATTAAGCATTTTTATGGGTTAGGTAAATTTGTTTTATTAGTAAAATACCACTGACAAATTATTGGTCTCCGTTAGATCAACGCAGTGGTGTTTACAAAAAATATTTTTTTTATTTTGTAGAATTATTGTCTTTTCAAGAAATAACCCCTGTTGTATGTGACAAATACATTTTATATTCTATTATCTATTCTAGTGACCGGAAACTTAGTAGAAAAAGCTGCTGCAGAATGTTGTCGCATATAATAGGACTGCAATTATTATCTCTCGCCAGCTTTATTATCCGTTATAGTTAACTGTAGTAACTGTAGGCGTTTTTTTAATAAAATAAATACGAGATCTAATAAGTGAAGGCAGTTAAAATTGACCAGGTCGTGAACTGAATGTCAGTGGCTTGGTTAACTCCTTCTGTACAGTGTGTCCCATTTTCGTGTGTTTTATGGGGTTTCTCGATTATAAGTAGAGATGGCAGATGGATGATGCGGTTTTTGCATCAACGTGCTTATGAAACTAAATATGCTACACACAGATTTATCCTAGCATTGTTACTTCCTGAAATACAGGGCAAATTTGATTGAAGGTGAAAATCGAGTCTCATAGAGTATTTTACGTAGAACCCAGTGGCGTGTTTTTCGCTGCGATCTGCCATTTCCGAAATATAACTCAAACTATTTTTTTAAATGATACACTCTGTATATTATTTTTTTAATTTTATTTGCCTTGTCATGAGCTTTCTAAAAATATAATATATTCTATACCTATTTTCATAAACAAAGTAAAAAAGGCATATTTCAAGAATGGCAGCTCGTAGCAAAAATCTAGTTACGCCACTGAATTCTAGATACGAAGGGGGTCGAAAAATGCGAAGTCTTCAATTTAGCCCTGTATTTCAGGGACAAAACAAATCTGTGTGTAGCATCTTTAGTTTCATAAAAATGTAGAACAGTAAGGTGAAAACCGCATCTTTGTAGCTGTACTCATAAATTCCATAAAATACATGAAAATAGGTCACCCTGTATATATGTGTATATTTAAAAGAATAGTAAAAAAAATGAGTTGGTGAAATAACTTGAAAAAATGACTTTTTTGTACTATTAATTGTTTAAGATAGTTAATATTTAGTTTATTATTTTAATGTACTTTTTTTATTTTTAGTATGGTATACTCTTAATTGCAATATTATTATTGGAGATAGCAGCTGGAGTGTTAGCATTCACCTATAAATCGAAAGTAAGTTAAAAATGTCCTTTTTATCACTATAAATAATCACAATAATCTCACTATAATTCAAGTCGTGGCAGACTGTCTTTCCGGATTTAAAGACTTTCCATAAAATCAATTACATACCGATCTGGTCATTGAAACTGCGTGCTCTGGATTTTAACGTGTAAGACAGTGGTGTAGACAGCTTAATGAAAAATGTATTTAAAAGAAACAAAAGTTGGGTTGATACATTTCTTCTATGCGGTATTGCCGGATTTTGCATCAAAATTTTAAAGAGCACAAGTTGGCGTTTACAAAAAATGTTGCATCTAGGGTTGGAATTTTATTTTGCACAATTAGTTACTCTTTTTACTACAGCTGTAATAGATTATATTATAGCTTAGATATATCATCTTCTTTTCAGTAGCATACATGAAAACCGGCAATACTGTATTCCGCTTTTTATTTTGTGTCTCTGTCTGTCAACCGGTCGTATATTATTTCTGCGTATGCATTAAAATACAGGCCACGCAGATGAAGTGTCCAGGATGGTATATAGAAAATACAAGAAATAATCAATATAACCACATAAGTAAAAGATGTTTAAATATAGCTACTCGATGTCTGTTCTGCTTCTAATGCATGTATAGTACCGTATGATAAAAAAAAATACGTCAAAGACGGCTGTGGGACGACAATCGATGATAATTTTGGCGAGGACAATCTCTAGACGTCATTTACTAAAAATTTACATAAAACTTTAAAAAAATTAACACTAATTATAGAAAGATTAAACAGGGATAGAACGTTTCCCAACACACAAATCTATACTATTCGAGAAAATATTTTTTTTTCTCAAATTTTAAACTACACCATATAAATACCATTTTTACTCGATATAAAAATACATTAAGTAATGACATCTAGGTCTTAACCTCGCCAAAATTATCATCGATTGTCAATCCTCAGCCGTCCTTGACGTCTTTTTTTTTCGATCGTATATGGTATAAAAATAGTATTTTTGAGTCCTTCTTTAATGTACGTTTGTTACACTTTTTTAATATTTGTATTCAATTATAAAAAGAATATTTTTTTTAATTTTAGGCAGAAGATGAAACGAAAAACATAATGAAAGCTTCAATAGAAAAGTACTACAACAGTACTGATCACAAAGATGCTGTCACAGTGGCTTGGGATGCCTTACAAATCAGCCTACGATGCTGTGGAGTGGATGATTATACCGACTACCAAGACAACAAAGCATGGAAAGAACAAGACAACATTATACCTCCTTCATGCTGTGCACTGAATTCGGAGAATCAAGTTTTAGACCCAACATGTACCACGACACCTACTCTGTCCAATTCGTACTACAAAACGGTAAATTTTCATTTAATTTGCCTTACATTTTATTAGTTATATGTTAAACCAAATTAAAATTTGACCCGAAAAGTTATACAGGGTGAGACAACAGTAATATTGAACATGTCAGTCAGTATATTAAACCGATATTCAATGGAGAATTCATCTATATTTTATCAAATAATAGATATCAACTGACACAAAATCATAGAAATGATTTATTTAATGATTTTGATATCTAGGAAATTATTTTGATATCTAGGAAAATCTTTGTTTGAGTGGTAGGACTGGTAGGCAACCTTATTGGTATTTTGAAGAGACATGCATTCCCCATTGAATATCGGAATAATTTACTGGGTGTTATATTTAAAATAAAAGAGCAACTTTTTTTAAAATGTGTCCAATGTTCCAACCAATGTTCGATATTAATTTTTTCTCATCCTGTATAACTTTTTGGGTCAAGTTTTAATTTGATTTAAATTACGATTGTTATTTTAACTGTATTAGGTTGTACCGGGTAAAATCCAAAATTTAGGAAGATTTTATATAGGTAGAAATTCAAAAATTACAGTTGAGGGTTGGAACCTTTGGTGTTACACAGCAAAATAAAACACTAAATCACCACAATACACGAAAACACTTTTACTTTTACACTGGACGCGCGTTTCGCTAATCATGTTAGCATCATCAGCAGATGATTATAAACATTCATCAGTTTATAATCATCTGCTGATGATGCTAACATGGTTAGCGAAACGCGCGTCCAATGTAAAAGTGTTTTGGTGTATTGTGGTGATTTAGTGTTTTATTTTGCAGAAATTCAAAATTTGTTCTTCATTTTTATAAAATGTTAAATATGCCAAAAACTTTAAATTTTAGTCATACTTACCATTATTTTTCAACTAAAATCATCAAATCAAGTCCTAAAAATCAAAACGCTATTTGATTTTATTCAGGAAAGACTTCAGGAAAGACTAGGAAAAAATAATCATGTTTTTATGTAGGGTCTAATTTTGAGGTTGGAAGGAACAAGGTCTCCCCCAGTGGCGGACTAAGGGGCGGGCGGAAGGGGCGGTCCGCCCCGGGCCCCGTCTTTTAGGGGGCCTCCGAATCATAATAAGTAATTTTTTATTCAACTGGCAAACAAGGCCAATATGTGTTATAAAGTAGTTATAAAGCAGTTTGTAGGTGGAATATGCAAACCATATGTATACGCCAACTATAAACAATATAAATGGAAGCAGATATTTACTTAATTATCAATTATCAGGCCCCAGTAATTGTCAATGGCATTTTCTATTTAGGAAATTAAACCAAGAGATAAATTTCTTTGTTTAAAAGATCGAATAAGTATTATTTTTTAAATATTTTGGGACTGAATTTATTTATTTTAGCTTTTAAGTTATTTTTCAATGGTTTTATTATTTATTTTTACTGAATAAACATTTTAAATTACAACCAATGCACAGCATATAACTTGTATTCTAGCTTCATTACTGATGATGAGCAGTGAAGTCTTTAGTACAACGGGGGCCACGGGCCTGAGACAGCGAATGGGCCCCTCGGGTCTTGGAGGAGAGCGATATTTTGTCGCGGTATTTCCCTGGAAGCATTTTTAAGAAAAAAAATATTTAAAATTTTTGGACGAAAAAAACTACCTGTCAAGAAAATTGATACGGCCTAAAAGTCAAATTTAGTGATTACCACCGCCCCTGTGACATAAAGAAAAGACATGTGGCTATATATTTCAAAAATTAAATTGTTCAAATGTCATATAATAATGGCGGTATCTGTCATGGAATTGAGCGATTAAAAAATTATCAATAATATTTTCTTTTCAAATGGAAACCCACTTTTTTTTATTTCACTAGTAAAATGGTTTTCCAATTCGTTACGTTTTAACTAGACATATTCCTATACCTAAAATAAATCGTTTTTAAGTTATTTAAGATTTAGTTTGAAAACGTATATTTTTCTTGATTTTATCTAGCTTCCTTTTAGTGTCAAACAGTCAGACAATTTATTTCAATCTGTCAGAAAATGAATTATTTGAATTTCCAATATTATAAATTATAACTACTGCTGCCTTAAAACTTTATAAAGTGTATTTATATAAATATATCTCGTATTTTCGTTTTTTAGTGATATCTAATAGTTGATATTTTAATAGTATACCATACTATCAAAAAAAAAAAAAACAGCGCAAAGTTAGCTTGGAAATGATGATCGATAATATACTGTCATAGGCTACTGGTTAAATTCAAGAAAAATATACGCTTTAAAGCTAAATCTTAAATAATTTAAAAACGATTTATTTTAGGTACAGGAACAAGTATAGTCAAAAAGTAACAAATTTTAAAAACGAAAGTAACGAAAGCCTCTTCACGAGTGAAATAAAAAAAGTGGATTTCCATCTGAAAAGAAATGATTTATGATAATTTTTTTATCGCTCAATTCCATGACAGCTGCGGCCATTATTATATGACATTCGGACAATTTAATTTTTGACATAGATAGTTACATGTCTTCTCTTTATGGTACAGAGGTTGTGGCAATCATTAAATCATTAAATTTGACGTTTAGGCTATAGACATATTTTTGACAGGCAGTTTTTTCCTCTAAAATTATAAATATTTTTTTTTCTCAAAAACGGTTAACGTTAGGTATTTAATATCAAAATTCATAAAGTTTTACAGAGAATTTAAGTATGTAATAAAAAATGGGGGCACCCATTTAAAATAAGAAAGTTGCTGTCAACTTCCGGTATTTATGGAAGTGTCGCCATATTGAAAATATTTTTAATCGATAGATCTCTTTGTGAAACAATGATATGCACAAAATCTCGTATCTAGATATTGTAGTTCACTAGAAACTTCTAACGCAGGCTCAGCCTGGCACACCCTGTATATATACTTGAATTTTGTCAATCATTATACATACGTCATTCAATTTTTACAAAATGTGCATTAGAAGTATATCATTATATAAACAGACCGGGGGCCACATTTAGCTTCGCCGCCCCGGGCCCCCGACAGGCTTAGTCCGCCACTGGTCCCCCCTAGTCCCCAGGGAACTGTCATTTTCTAAATATGACTCAAACTTATGTTTTTTTTTTTTTTAAATGTGACACCCTGTACCATATTATTTTGCTTAGAAAAATTTACATAATAGTTCTATTCAAAAATACCGTAATATTATAGAATATACCGACTGGTTTATGAAATATGACCATTTTTAGACTAAATTTTCTGCACATTTGCCACTTTTTTCATTCACCACCAATTTTTTTTCTATCTTAGGGATGTTATCAGAAGATCATCGAATGGATCATGGCAAATCTCAACATAATCATCCTCACAGCTGGAGTTTTAGGACTAATTGAAGTTTTAGGCATCCTGTTTGCTTTCTGCTTAACGAAAAGTATAAGCGCTTACGAAAAATAACGAAAAGAAAAGATGTAAAATAATATCGTTGTTTAATATACTACAAAAGGGTGTTTCTATTCATTACGTGACTCGTTTTTGGGGATTTTTTGACACAGGGGGGGTGTCAAAAAATCTCCCATTGGTGAAATGTCGTCAGATTTACATCGACCTCCTCCCTAAATTCACGTGAGATCTTTCAAAAATTTTATTTTGAGTATATATGCGTTGGATTTATTTAAAAAAAAACACAATTTGCGAAATTATTTTTTATTAAGGCTAGTAAAGACTAGTATCTGAGATTGTTTAGACCGTGCTCTAAAATCATAGTGATAACATTAAATAATACTTAAATGGGAACTACTAAAATTAATAGGGAAAATTCATTCTAATTCAGTCCTTAGAGACTAGTGCACGGTCTCAAGAGTGACTGTTGGTCTTGGTACCAAAAAAGCCATGTAATTTTCAGTAAAATCATTTTCTCCTTTACCTTCACTCTGGTTTAGCCACTCTAAACGGTTGTTACTTGCGCACAGAAGTTTAGTAACACCTCTCTTTCTCTCTCTTGTAACATTTAAACTGCGCGCCATAATTTTTGAACCAATAAGTATTACAGTTGGGGATTGGAACCTTTTGTGTTACACAGGAAAATAAAAACACTAAATCACCACAATACACCAAAACACTTTTACTTTTACACTGGACGCGCGTTTCGCTAACCATGTTAGCATCATCAGCAGATGATTAAAACTTTAAAAAATAAAACTTTAGTTTTAGAAAAAATAAAACTTAGATAACATTTAGATTTAGTGTTTTTATTTTTTTTAACCAATGAGTAATCGGGTAAAACATTTTCGATATATCAATACCACAGAGTACAGAATATTCTGTACTCAAAAGAGTGCAACCAGACGAGTGCAACCAGAAGAGTGCATACAGAAGAATTGTCTCATTTCGACATATTTTAACCTAGAAATATGTTTTGCTTTAAATTAATCTGAATTTCTCATATTTTTACACTATCTTTTGGCCGAAAAGAATTATGTGGTATTTGCCGAAACCTCCTCCCCTCACGTGAGATTTAGTGAGATTAGGCCTAGAATCAAGTGGGGAAGGTGTCCCCCCTTGATTCCCCCACGTAATTGATAGACGCCCCAAAGTATATTAGACAACAACTCAAAGTAGATTAATTCTACGTCAGTATTATATTTAAAAATATTGTTTAATCAATGTTGATGATAAATGAACAAAAAACGTTGTTGCTAGTGGCGTCGCTATTGGGTAATTAGCCAAGACTTTATTACAAAAAAAAATGTGAAAAAAGTACATTCGATCAAAAAAAAAAGACAGCGTCAAAGTTACCTGGGAAATGATAAGATTTCCTGCCATTTTGTTGGTAAAATTATATAGTGAGTGTCATTGATCGTCATTTTCAAGCTAAGTTGCTGGATTAAAGTGTTGTTACAACTATATGATGTTATATTTACCTAAATTCTACGTTGCCTAGCCCCCTACTAAGTACGCCACTGGTAATTCAAACAAACAATCAGTGCCTTGATTAGGGTCTGAATTTTGTAAAAATCTAGTCATATATGTAATCGAGTAAGAATACGAATTATATATGTATACTGTATATTAGAGTTTTTGATCAATTTTTAGTTGTTTATTGGATGCATTTATATACGTCTGTACATATACCTTAAGTAAAACGACTGTATTTATAAGTTAGTAATAAAAAAAATAAATTAATATATAAGTATATGCATATTGATATTTTATTAACATTAACAACAGTTTATACAGGGTGTTTCAAAAAATATGTTCCATCTCTCGTATGGAGATTACTCACGTAAAAATAAGCTTTAATCTAGGGATTTCATTTCTATATGAACATATGTGCAATTCTGCTTCGTTTCGTAGCTATAGGGGGTTAAATTTTTTCTTTTCGATTTATAGTAATTTTTCCGAGTGCTTTTAGTGGTTCGAATAAAATTTTAAAAGTAAAAGTTGCAATAATTATTTTAATGCTAAAAAAGTGTCGACAGATGCACATGCATATGGGTTATTACTGGAATATATTTGAAAAAAAACATGTGCGCCACTGACCTTTCTTTCTCTTGTTAGCAAAATTTTTAGATCGTTTAATATCGATTAAAAGTTATTATTAAACATTAGAAAATATTACGCCTTGTAATATTTTCTAATGTTATTAACTGGTTAAGTACTCATTCATTTCTCATAAAAAATACGAAAAAAAGCTCCTACAAACATGGGTACAGAAATGCATAATTTTAAAGTTACAATTTTTAAAAATTAGGTCTTTTGTATCTATTTTCAATAGCATTATTTCTTTTCTTATTTCCTGTAGGTAGCACTGAACATCAGTGTTTATAAATTTTAAAAAAGTTTAATAGTAAATTAGAATAAATAAATAATTTATTAATTTTATCTTAATTTTATTAATTGTGATTAATAAAATTGCGTTTATCTCATCAATCATCAAGGAGACCAAAATAGACAAAATAGCAAGAGACAACTTTTAATCGGCATTAAACTTCATTGGTCGTTTTTTTTTAGAAAAAAGATTCCTGTGATAACCCACATGCACGTCCCTGGTGAATTTATCGACACTTTTTTAACATTAAAATATGTGAGCAACTTTTTCCCTGAAAATTTCCTTTGAATCAATAAAAACACTTGAAAGAAAATTATAATAAATCGAAAAAAAACTTTAACCCCCTGCAGCTACGAAACAAAACCACTGGTGATATGTCAGTTGGCACATATTTTTGGGACACCCTGTGTAGGTCTGTACCCATATACTATAAATAAAACGACTGTATTTATATGCTAGTAATAAAAAAACTTTAATAAATTAATAAATATATACATAATGATATTTTATTAACTTAAACTAGAGTTTATATTATCTTAAAAATCTTTACATTAACTTGAACAGTGTAAAACTTACAATTCAGTCAGACGAGGTTTCTTACTATACCTAAATGACGTAAGTATCATTAATACATTAATAAATATATACACAATGATATTTTATTAACATTAACAACAGTTCATAATATACAGGGTCCTACAAGAGTGCATCGATATCTGTAGCGGCTATAATAAAAAACTTTTTTTTATTAAAAGAATCTTGTTTAAGTGTACACCTAAAGTATGCACTATAATGTAATTCAGGAAAATATTTTAACTTCTACAGAGTGGCTCAAAAAAATAGGCGGAGATCGGGACCATTTTTTTAAATGGAACACCTTGTATATTATTGTTTTTTAACTTCCTTTCTGATCGCTTTACAAAATCCTAAGATATTATTAAATATGTTTTGATAGTTTCAGCGATATATTAATAAATAAATAAGCTTTTTAAAAAAATATATTATAAATACAAGAAATGTTGGTCTATACCTTTGCTATAAATTTCTCAGTTTTAAATCATGCAGAGTGTACAAAATTCTACGTCAAAAAAAATCTTAATCAAAATAAACATTTTTTGTGTTCAAAGTATTAATTTTTTATCAAAGCCATCTAATGATTTTTGTCTGATATTTTTACAGTTGAGAGATCCATATGTAAATAAAACCGCAAATACCTGCGAAACCGTTAACATTTTTAAAATACTTTAAAAAATAACAAAATATGTTCATTTTTTAATTCCTTATCTAATAAAAAAAATTGTGCAACGTGTTCCATTAAAAAAAAACGAAGAAAAATTAATTTATATTTTAAAAAGTTTGGCAGAACATTTTGAACACCTCGTATGATTTAAGTTTACGTACAGGACCAACTATGGAAGTACCTAGCATAGTTTTAATTTCAGGACACTTTTTAAATGCTGAAAATCATAATTATTTTCATTTATTTATTTATAACTCTGAAATTATAAAAACAAATTTAATTATATCTCAGGACTATGTAAAGTGATTAAGAAAAAATAATATACAGGGTGTTCCGTTTAAAAAAAATCTTCACGATCCACTCACACTTTTTTGAGCTGCCATATAGAAGTTAAATTTTCCCGAAATAGGCCCTAGTACATACTTAGGAATTCAAAATTTCTAAGTTACTTTTTATAGGAGCTTGAGATGCCCGAGGCACTGTTGCAGGACCCTATATTATTTATCTTAAAAATATATAGTAATTATTTTAAAAATCAATGTAAAATAGTAGACAGTGTAAAACTTGTAAAACTAAACAATTCAAACTGTGAGCCGGGGTTTTTTTAATGCAGCCATATGACGTATTGTTAGGAATGTTTTCAACAAAACAGCGATTTCGACCAATCCGCAGAAAAACGATATTGGATCAGTGTGGTCTTCAAAATAGTATCGATAAATCCCGTCAACAGTATACAAAATTCGATACAAAATCAGGAAAATGACGTATCTGCGTACAGGTCTGCCCTCTTGAATTGTTTTAATCATCTGGTACTGGGGAACGATGGCAGCAGCTTCCATATAGATGCTAGTAGCCCATGTTAACTTAAAAAAAAACAATTGACATTTTTACTCAATTTTTTTCACACAGGGTGGTCCAAATTATATTCGGGAAATTTTGGAAGCATATTCTGCAGACAAAAATAAAGAAAACAGTTCGTATAATGTTTGTCCTAATGTCCTAAACATACAATGGGTGAATTTTTTTATATACTTGAAATCACTTATAAAAAAAAACACCCAGTATATAGAAGCCTGTCAAACACAAAATTACAAAAATTTCTCTGCGGAAATGCACCATTCTCTTTTTTCCAGGGTTGGAAAAATTCATGATTCTTTTAAAAAAATCAACAAATGTGGTTTTTTTATTTCAATCAGATTTTTTTGATTTTAATTCAAAACAATATTTAAATAAAATTTATATAGGCTAAAAAGCACTAAATAGATAAATTTCTGAAATGACAACTTCATTTGACAGTTATCTTTTACCTTGACTGGTGCTCATTAGTAAATACAGGGCCATAAGAAAGGAGAAATATTTAAAAAGAAATCGGCGATAACTCGTAAACGGGCTAATCAAAAATATCTAAAGTTATTCTTTTGAATGTGGGTTTTAGTGCTCTTCAATAAACCTAAATAGAATTATTCTCTAAAATAATTAGGGAAGCCAATAATTGCCCCATTAAAATTTATATGGGATTTCCTATGTCCCGCTCGACGATGTAACACCCGGTATAGGGTGTTCAATTAGAAAAAACACAACTTTGATGAGTAATTTTTTTGCGGACACCCTGTATAATTCTATATATTTTTATAAAATGCTTTCAGTTAACCTACATATGCTGCCAAAATTTCATTTCGATATAAACTACCGTTCTCTTTGGAGCTTCCACAGCATATAAGAGGCGCCACCCTGTATTTGAATTATAAAATTTGAATGTTGTATCTTTGAAGATGCCTGTCACCCAAAAAATTAGCTCGCGTGTCAGCCTTGACACGCGTGTCATAGGTTCGCCATCACTGTTTGTTAATTTAAAAAAAGAAATAGTTACCTCGCAAGGCTCCAATTGGTCCCAGCTGACAATTCCATGATTTCCCAAAGTGACATGGTTGAGGAGGATGCCACACAGTGTCGATGGCACGAGTATACGAACAAATGAAAATCTGTCGGTTTTTCGATCATCAGTAGTAGAGAAAAAGAAGAAAAATATAGCCATGAACGCGTACGAACCGGCTATAAAGGTCGTTATCAAATATACATTGGCGTGCATACAGCTTCCCAAAAATATATCGAAAAATCTAGCACCGAAGGCCATAGCGAAAAGAAGTAACGTATTTTGAGATATGCCTAAAAATAAATATAATAATTCATAATCATTACATTTTCTTTTCAAAAAAATTAACTAGATTTGAAATAGTTTATACAGGGTGCTACAAATTCGAGGTACGAGCATTGGTATCTCGGTAACCGCAATAGATACGAACATGGTTAAATTGGGGCAAAGTTGCGCTTTGGGATGATCACCAAGATGCCATCAAAAAAGTTTTGGTAATTTCAAGGATTGCTGAGTTTTTTGGAAAACGGATTTTTTTGAAAATCAATTTTATTTTTTCCTGTCATTTTTTAGAAAATCAAAAAACTAATTGCACATTCTCATAGCCACTTTATTAGGGCTATCTGATAGTATTTTTAGATTTTCAAATTAGCTTATAATTTGTGAGATACAGAGGCCAACTTAATTTTTTTAAATACGGATCTGCATTTTTTATTTCAGGTTTTGAAAGAACTCGGTCTTTGTCTCCTTTGTCTCCTTCAAACATCTTTATGCAATGCAATTCATCTTTAGATTGATTAATTTATAATAACTACGATTAATATTATGCATATTATTAGATCGTACACTGGGATTTCAAATTCACAATAGAAAAAGTTAAAATAATAGATATCTTTAAATTGATGACTGGATATTAATTATTTGAATCTTTCAATTGGTGTGATTTTCCTTATTCAATGTTAATTAGCGCTGATCAATATTGTTGTGCTGAATATAACCAGATTAAATAAATTAAAAAACCAGAGTCGGACTTGAAATTATTTTAAATAACAATTAAATAATATTTTTAAGGTATCCCAAACAAAAACAGTATCAAGTATGGCATATCATTGTACTCAGGAGACCGAATTCTTTCAAAACTTGAAATAAAAAATGCAAATCCGTATTTAAAAAAATTAAGTTGGCCTCTGTATCTCACAAATTATCAGCTAATTTGAAAATCTAAAAATACTATCAGATAGCCCTAATAAAGTGGTAATGAGAATGTGCAATTAGTTTTTTGATTTTCTAAAAAGTAGCGACAGGAAAAAATAAAATTGATTTTCAAAAAAATCCGTTTTTTCCAAAAAACTCAGCAATCCTTGAAATTTTTAAAACTTTTTTGATGGCATCTTGGTGAACATGCCAAGGAGCAACTTTGCCCCAATTAAACCATCTTCGTATCTATTATGGTTTCCGAGATACAAATGCTCGTACCTCGAATTTGTAGCACCCTGTAATATATAGGGTGGTTGGACCATGGAAGGACATGCTCCTTTGAAGGCCAACATTAAAAAAGTCATAGTTATTGTCATGTGATGACAAATTCCTTCCACTCACACTAAGCTCTAAGCTCCATAAACTGAAAGACACAGACGCGACGGGGAGTCGCTCGAGTCGCTATTTAGTTAGTGCAAATTGTCATATAAGAATTTATTATGGTACTAAAGAAAAAAAAATACTTTGATTTCAGTTAAAATATCGGTAGTGTTCCTATGAAAGCCGGGGTTCCTTTCCTTACACAAACCCATAAGAAGGCCATTAATATAGGTATTTTTTTTGTAATTTCATTCTAAAACGCATTGGCAACTTATTTGTTATCGATATAATATTAATAAAAGCGGATATATTTGATTATTACAACTCTAGTTTTAAGTTGAATGACTGATTTATAATATTGGCCTTGTATGGAGCCCCGTTCCTTCAAGGCCGTTTGGAAGAGCTTAATACAAGTTAAGTTTATAAAAAAATAATGTACGTGTTACATAATAAAACAAAGTGTTAATTAATAATTTGTTTCGACATTTATATAGTAGTAAGTGAATATACCAGTAAATGAACTGTTTATTCGTTACAGTGGCCTTCCATGGTCCATCCACTTTATATCTAATCTATTTACAGGATGAGCCTTAAATAAGTACAAATCTTGCGACCCCAGGAACAGGTCTATAAGTTTTTTTTCGTAAAAAAACCTCACAGACCTCAAAACCTCTGATCAACACACTAAAAAATATTTATATCTCCGTAGATATTTATTTTAGGAGAAAAAGTATAAAAAGTAATATATTTGAAATGTTTTTAGTTTTTTCGAAAAAAAAATTATAGAGATATTTGAAAAAAAAACGAGAACATCCAAAATGGGGGCGTTTTTTTTCAAACTTTCACCACTGGGACCGAATGTAACTTTTAGTTTAAAAGATTGACTGAGTTTTGAGGATTGGTTGGTTACTAATTTTTTTCACCTTTACATATCGTCCTATTGCTGCAAAAGTCACTAACTAACATTTTTCCGAACAACCAAATTCAATCACTATGTTTTGAAGCGGAGAATCAATTGCAAAAGTCATTAACTACGATTTCTGGCTATTTATGTTTTATTTTAATACCGATGCGTCTAAAGATGAATTGCATTGCATAAAGATGTTATAGTTACTAACTATAACATCTTTATGCAATGCAATTCATCTTTAGATTGATTAATTTATAATAACTACGATTAATATTATGCATATTATTAGATCGTACACTGGGATTTCAAATTCACAATAGAAAAAGTTAAAATAATAGATATCTTTAAATTGATGACTGGATATTAATTATTTGAATGTTATAGTTACTAACTATAACATCTTTATGCAATGCAATTCATCTTTAGACGCATTTTTCTCGGAAGTAATAAAAAGTAAGTTAGTGAACGTTTACTGTACTATATCTTCATCCTTATATACCGTATGATCGAATAAAAACGGCGTCAGCGATGGCTATGAAATGAAGATTGCTGTCATTTTATATGTAAAATTATATTGGAAATGTCATCGATCGTCATTTCCAAGCCAACTGGACGCCATTTTTTTTCGATCATATTATACTTAGGCCTTTAAGTGTTATATTGTCAATCACGTCGCAAAAATGAATACTTTTGTGACGTTTGAAAAAAAAATCTTATTATTATATCTGAATATTAAAATAACCAGAGAAACTTACCTAGAGTTTTATTAAATTTCATATTTGCCAATAATGGTAAAATTGCCACCACATGAAGGCAATCGGCCACGAGAATAATATAATTCATATCAATTTCACTCATATTTAAAAGAAGTTATTTTTACTTCAACAATGTGCATACGTACAACTCTTTATATCGGGTAAAACTGAGTTATTAAAAGAGGTGTACCAGAAAGATATTAATGAGTATAAACAGCAAAAAACAGCATACCTGTATTTTCAACAACAATTCAACAAAAAAATTTAGATGTTTTTGCTGTTGCAAGCCTATTCTTCTTGATGGATTCTGAATTCCATTCAAGCTGCCCATATAAAAATTATCGTGCCAATATTGAATTTATTTTATAAGAAACATACGTACAGGGTGTCCCATTCTCGTGTGTTTTATGGGTGGATAAGGTGAAAACCATAGACAACTGAGTCCCATAGAGTTTTTCACGTAGAGCTGCGAGCTGTCATTCTTGAAATATGACCCAACTTTTTTTAATGGAATACCATGTATATTAGTTTTTTTTTATTTTATTTGTCTTGTTATAAGCTTTCTAAAAATATACTTTATACTTATTTTCATAAATATGGTAAAAAATGCATTATTTAACTTTTTTATTCTAATTCGACATCAAATTTTGGTTATTGATTATTCCACGCTAGTTTCTGTGTGTAGAATGATTGCACAAGTGTGTCAAAAATATCAATACTAACTCATTGATAGAAAATTTAAGTACATATACAGGCAGTGGTGGATACAGAGAGGAGACCTCCCCTCAAATCTACAAATTAGGTTAAATGTTAGGCTTTTGGGTTAAAAATGACGCCCTAAAAGCATATTGTATATTAGTTTTTATTTGGGCCTCCTCTAAAATAAATTCCTGTATCCGCCCCTGTATACAGGGTATTTTTGAATAAGTGTCCGATATCTGACGGGGTATAGACTCTTTCAGGTAAAACTGGGAGAGAAAGAGAGCAAAAGATGAAATTTAATAACGGATTGCCACAAGGTTCTGTCTTAGCTCCATTGCTGTTTAATTTATATATCGCTGATATGCCTGCTACTTCAGCTAGAAAATTTGGGTATGCGGACGATTGGGCGATAGCTACAAGACATAAAAACCTCGAGGAGACAGAGGCTGTTCTTGCGGAAGACCTGTATTCCCTAGGAAACTACTTCCGCCAGTGGAGGTTGCAACCGAGCGCGGTAAAGACGGAAGTTAGTTGTTTCCATCTTAATAATAAATTAGCAAACCAAGAACTTAAAATAAGGTTTGAAGGTAACTGGCTGTCCCACAACAACACCTAAAAATATTTAGGCATTACCCTAGATAGGACCTTGTCCTTTAAGAAGCACCTCACACAAACTGCAGCTAAGCTCAACACTCGGAAATATCCTCCATAAATTATGCAGCACCACGTGGGGATCATCCGCGAGTAACTTGCGTTCCTCTGCACTGGGTTTGGTTTACTCTACTGCTGAGTACTGTGCCCCGGTGTGGTTCAGTAGTTCTCACACAGGAAAGGTGAACGTCCAATTGAACATCACAATGCGTATTATATCAGGAACAATAAAATCAACTCCCACCCAATGGCTTCCTATTCTAAGTAATATTCCTCCACCACATATACGCAGGCAGAATGCACTTTTTAGAGAATACACTAAAATTACTAACATGCCGCAACTGCCGATACATTTGGATGTCCATGACCTGGATAGGAACAGACTTCGTTCAAGAAGTCCAACATTAACAACCGCAAGCAGCTTACACCGGGACGGTTTTAAATTAACGGAGTCTTGGATTAGGGAATGGGAATCAGAGTTACCAGACCACGCCGGGAACATGCCGGCTATAACTTAGAACCCACCAGGCTTTGACATGCCACGTAAAACATGGTCTGCGTTAAACCGGATAAGGACAAATCATGGGAGGTGTGCCGATTCTATGTTTAAATGGGGAAAGTCAGCTTCCCCAGAATGCGACTGCAACACCGGCCGACAAACTATCCGGCACATAGTAGAAGATTTGTTTGTAATACTTGTTATATGTATATTCGTTTGTACATTTTAGACTCTTGTCAGACTATTATTATTGTTTGCACACATACTTGTTTCCTGCTCTTTACTTCTACAGTGATTGTAATTCCATGTTTTGTTGTGATGTTTAGCCATACGATAGATAGATCTGACGGGGTGATTAAAAAGTTCATATAAGAATGAGTCCTAAAATGCTTCGTTTTCGTGACACAGTGTATCAACATTTCAAGAAAAAAATGTTTTTTTTCTTATGTTCGGAGCCATTCGTAAGGGATATTTGTCGATTAAACATATTTTTTTTAATTTTCACTAGTTTTTAAGTTATTAATAAAAAAACTTTAATAAATATATACATATTGATATTTTATTAACATTAACCGTTTATACCGGGTGTTTCAAATTCGGCTATCACCATTGGGATCTAGGAAACAGTAAGAGATACAGGGTAGCTTAAATTGGGACAAAGTTACCTGATTTCTTTGTCATTTTCGGAAATATGGGGGGAAAACTAAAATTTCCGGTTTTCGATTTAATTTTTTTACACATTTTGACAGTTACAGCCGAGGTTACAGCGCTTTCAGATGAAGCGGACGCTCCGCGCGACCCATGTGAAATTGTTCATTTAAAGTCATGGAACTGGTGGAGGGTACGCGCGGACGGTCCGCTCCATCTGAAAACGCTGTTACAAAAATCTATAAACACACTCTCAAAGACACTTTCTTAGTTTCTTCCTTTGGTGACGTGAACAATTGCTTACGACGTTTTGTTTTTCTGAAACCATCCTTAGTTTATTTTTCTAAATACGGATGTGGATTTTTATTTCATTTTTAGAAGCTTGCTTAGCTTTTTTAGTAGCTCCACTATTCAGCAGATACATCGGATTACTCGCAATACAATTCAAACTCTAGAAGACAAAAAGTAATTCACATCAGTGTTTCTTGATGTTAGTCAGGTTTTCGACAAAGTATGGCATATGCGACTACTTCACAAAATTAAAAATTATCTTCCCATGTCCTATTTCTACTATTGAAATCCTAATACCTAAATGGCAGAGAGTTTAGAATCAGGAGTCAGAGTAAGTGAGAATGCGTATCTACAAATTATAGCATAAATGCAGATGTTCCACAAGATAGTGTCCTAGCACCACTACCCTATGTAATCTTTATACAGCAAACTTTCCCACAAACAATGGCTAAAATCGGCTATTTAAAGTAACCTGTATTTTAAATGGAGTGCCGCCAGTATAAACTTAAGCAACACACTAATTCCGCAGCCTTCCTCCACGAAGTACTTAGGTATGCACTTGGATACTAAGCTTACCTGGAAAGAACACATAAGTAAAGAATCGTAAGCAAATAGATTTGAAAATAAAAGACATTGGAAAGAAGACCTAAACTATCGCTAGAGAATAAATTTCTTTTATACAGGGTGAGTTTCCTACGATGTTCTCTATGGGTATCTCGGAAACTACTGGAGATAGAGAGTGACTGCATAGAGACTGCAATTTTGTGGGGTCATAAACATGCGCCTTTCATATTTTTGAAAAAGTTTATGGCTTACTTGATATTTCGAAAAAAAAACAAATTTTGGCCATTTCAAAAATTGTCCCTAATTCCATTATAATCTGTTTTAGACAAAAAGTTTTCAGATAAAAGTTGAAGATAATCACATTCTTAATGTGATTGTGTGTTCCGTTTTTTTCTAAGACCTGTCATTTTTGACATATGACACAAACATAGGTTATTTTAAATGGAAAATGGAAACCATAGTTGGCCATGACTTCATAACAAGGGCCATTTTTTAAGCCTTTCAGCGATATAAACTATAATATGTTTCTTTCGAAAAATTACTGAGTTATAGCCAATTCTTATCATTTTTAAACAATTTCACTTAGTTAGCCATGGGAACAAGTTCAATTGTCGTTGCTCTCAGTAATGTAAAACTGTCACATCCAAACTTTGTAAATTAAAATAAACAAAAATTGTCAATATGAATTTTTCAAATGAAGAAAAGTGTAGCATTATTGGTTCAACTTTTCTTGGCCATACATTTTCGAGGATACGTTGACCGGTGGACATAATTTACGTTTTTAAGAAAAGTTAAATTTAGATACTTGCGCATCAATAGAGTGGTTCTAACATGACATTCATTATGACACTCCCCCTCATAATGAAAGAAATGTTAAAAATTATTTATATCATATGTAAACTCAGAGGTAGGACGAGGTGGACCAATTGCATGGACCCCCTCGATCACCTGACCTATCCATTTTAGATTTTTTTATGCGGTAAGGTTAACAACAAGGTTTATAAAAGAACTTATGAATTAAGGGAGGTACTCAAAGAGGCGGTACGGAAGAAGTTTATTAACTGTTTAACCGTTCTGTGGGAAAAGCTTGTAGTTCAGTTTTAAAAGATAAAACAATGGCGGTTTTTTTGGACATTTGCTAAAATAGCTTAAAGTGGATGTAGTAATATTAGTTTTTTTTCAGTTCTAGTTTGTGTAATGTAAATTGTAAACCACCCTTTAATAAAATATTCTGTCTTTTTATAAGTCATAAATCATAACAGAATAAGAATACCAAGCCAACTAAGTGAAATTAGTCAAGAAAGATAAGAATTGGCTATAACTCAATAATTTTTCGAAAAAAAACACATTACAGGTGATATCGCTGAAAAGCTTAAAAAATGGCGCTTTTTATGATGTCATGGCCAACTACGGTTTCCATTTAAAAAAATAAATGTTTGTGTCATATGTCAAAAATGACAGGCTTTAGCAAAAATCGGAAAACACAAACTCATTAGGGACGTGATTATCTACAACTTTTATCTGAAAACTTTTTGTCTAAAATAGATTATAATGGAATTAGGGACAATTTTTAAAATAGCCGAAATTTGAGTTTTTCGAAATATCTAGTAAGCCATGAACTTTTTGAATCATCTGAAAGGTGCATGTTTATGACCCCACAAAACTGCAATTCTTTCCCAATTTAACCGACTCTCTATCTCCAGTAGTTTCCGAAATACCCATAAAGAACATCGTAGGAAACTCACCCTGTATAAAACCATGATAATATCTATTTGGACATATGGAGCAGAACTCTGGGGGTGCGCTAATAAATCAAATATAGTCTTAATATTGTTGTTATATGTTGAAGACTTAGAAATTCCGTACGTCAAAGAAGTTATCCAAACTCGGAGCAAAATACATTTCAATAGACTACACGATCACACTAATACCTTACTTCAACTTCTACTTGAACCAGTACCTACAATAAGACTTAAAAGACATTGGCCATCTGATTTTAAAGAACATTAAGGATGATTTTTGGATGAACTGGGACGTCATAGCTCTCAAGTCATCAAATTAAGTAAGATAAGTTCAATTACTAAACGGATTATCATTGTGCCCACTAATATGCAACTTTGTCTCAATTTAAGCCACCCTCTGTGTATCTCTTACCGTTCCCGAGATTACAATGGTCAAAGCCGATTTTGAAACACTCTGTATAAACACTGATCAGTGTAAAACTTACAATAATTTACAATTTTAGACTTTTTCTTGAATTAATTGTTCCTTATCAGAACTACTATAATTCTCAGCAATACTGAGCTTTTCCTGTATGATCTTCCTGGCTTGTATAGTAAATATCTCAGTCAGTAACTGCTTTTTGGCACTCACTACACCAAAATGGCGTATAGCAATGGTTGCTTTCAGCAAAATGGTGACTTGCAGCAAACCGGAGAAGAATGATATTGGATCGTTGTGGTTTTCATTAAAATATCGATAGATCCAGTTACCGATGTAAAAAATTCTGTACAGTGCCAAGAAAATGATGTATTTGCGTACAGGCTCGCCATTTTTCGTGTTCAAGATCATCAAGTATTGAGGGATAATGGCCAGGGCTTCCAGATAAATACTAAAAGCCCAGGAAATCTAAAAAACAAAAATAAAAATATTAGTGTACAGGGTGGGTCAAATTGGACGCTTTTAAAGGGAAACACCCTTTTCTATAGGAGATAGATGAAAACTAATATCGGTGTCTGCAGCTCAATTTTGATCAAAAACATGATGGTGAAAAGTGCACATCGATATCTGTTACCGTTTCGGAGTTACGAGGTGTTTTTCAAAAATGTTTATTTTTAACAAATCGCTGTAACTTTTTTGCTATGGAAAATTTTGTATTTCTATGAAAACATTTCCAAAGCACCTTTTTACGCAGAATTTAATGGTTTAAGTATAATTTTTTTAAAATTAATAATTTAGCAGTTATCAACAGAAAAATTGATTTTTTATTTGGGACACCCTGTATATTTTTAATGAACTAAAAAGAACTTAAAATTACCTTTCCAAAAATATAGCACACTTGATATTTTGGTATAATCCCCTTCGAAATACAGAATTTTTAAAAGTTCGCCACTTTTAACTAGTAGGCTTTGGACCCCTTATTGATGATATGCCCCTAATGAAACTCGAAAACATATTTTTCCAGCAATACGAGGCACCGCCTCAGAACGCTGAAGTTGTCAGCAAATTTTTGCAGCCAATTTCAAGAATAATTGAATAGCTATCCAAGATCCCAGCCGTCTGCCGTCGAGGAATCTAATCCTATGGATCTAATCCTATGGATGCCGATATCTATGCCGTATGGATCTAATCCTATGGACATCTTTGCGGAAAAATAAGGGTCCTTATTTCTAAATTTCCCGTATAATCTAGACAAGAATTAGAAATACTTGGCAATTATGAGAGGGTATCTTTTACCCCCACTGAGTTAATAAATTCCGCGAGAAATGTTCAAAAACGACCCCGTCTGTCCATATAACAGAAAACGGTTGATATGTCGAACACCTGTAGTCTTGGTTTGCTATTTATTTTTATTGTTATTAGATATAGTTTAAATGTGTTCATGTTGGTTAAATATAGTTCAAATTGTTATAAAATTCTGCATCTCTCAATGCAAATATTATTTTCGTTTTAATTGATGTTCACAGCTAGAATTTTTTTGCATTACAGCCGGCGCCGTTCAAAGCCTTCTTATTTAAAGTGGACGAATTTTTATAAACTCTATATCTCGAAGAGGAATCGAGCAAAATAGCAAGTGTGCTATATTTTTGGAAAGGTAATTTTAAATTATTTTCAATAAATTAAAAATATACAGGGCGTCCCATATAAAAAATTAAATTTTCTGTTGATAACTCTTAAATTATTAACTTTAAAAAAATTATACTTAAACCATTAAATTCTACGTAAAAATGTGCTTTGGAAATGTTTTTATAAAAATACAAAATTTTCCATAGCAAAAAAGTTCAAGCGATTTGTTAAAAATGCACATTTTTAAAAAACACCCCGTAACTCCGAAACGGTAACAGATATCGATATGCGGTTTTCACCATCATGTTTTTGACAAAAATTGAGCTCTAGATACCGATATTAGTTTTCGTCTATCTCCTATAGAAAAGGATGTTTCCGTTTAAAAACGTCGAATTTGACCCACCCTGTACAGAGTAGTCTGAATTGTCATCAGAAAACTTATTCTGCAGCTAGAAATAAGTAAAAAATTCCCTATAAAATCATGTCCTAAAATGCTTCGTTTTAGAGATACAGGGTTTCATTTTTATTTCCGATTTTTCTAAATAATTTCTGAAGTAACGACCTTATTTTAATGAAAATTGGTATCTGTATGTTTTTTACATGAGAAATTTGTTATACTAAGGGTCGGCATTTCTGATCTTGGGTGCCGGTTTTCATGTGTACGAAGAGCACGGTCAACACGCTTAGTAAAATAAGATGTACTGAATAAAGACAGCAGGCGAGTATTTTCCTAAGCGCATGGAATCTAGCGTCAGATTAAGTAGTTATGTAATAAATACTTCGTCGTATTTTTGTTCACTCCGACTTACTTGATTGCCATAACGACTCACTTCTATACATGTAAACGCCGACCTAAAGGTTCGCTTGCCAGCGGGGTATATTTAATCTAACATACTTCTAGGGGGACCCACCTACATGTTTTGAACAGTAATAACTTAACTGTTTTGAAGAGTAGGTAATAATTTAATTTTTTGACCGTACCTGTATAAAATTACGAAATAAAAAATAGAATTGTATTGCACACATTACAGTTTCGCCTTTTTTCGTTGATTTTCTAGATATTTAGAATCGGATTAATCAATGCATGCCATCATTGACAAAATATAAACATGTTGATTAGATAAATAATAAATTTCGAAATGTTTTGGTGTCAAAGGTTGAACAGAAACTATTTTATTATAAATTTTGTTTCAAAAATTTATGATTAATTTAAAAAATAAGAAGTTTCTAAATTTACCATTTCAGTCAAATAACTATATTTAGTCAACGCATGTTTATTTTTTGTCAATAATTATGACATGCATTGATAATTTCTATTCCAAATACCTTGAAAACGGTTGCTCGTAACGATTTTTATCAAGAGATCAAGGGAAAAAACAGCGAAAATATGGGAAAATATACATTTTTCCACTCAGTAGTTTAATACAGGTGCAAACGAAAAGTTATTACTCTTCAAAACAGTCAAAAAAACATGTACGTGACGTTCCTTGCAAGTAACATTGGCAATTTGACATTGAAATCCCCAAATTTTTCATGTTAAAAAACACTCAGACCCTAATTTTCATCCAAATATCGACGTTAGTTCAGAAATTCTGTGGGAAAAATCGAAATAAAAATTAAATTTCTACACCCTGTAGCTCCGAAACGAAGCATTTTAGGACATAAAACTTTATACGAACTTTTTTACTTATTTTTATTCGCGGAATATGCTGCTGAAGTTTCCCGAATCAAATTCGGACCACCCTGAATAATCAGGGGCGGATACAGGAATTTATTTTAGGGGGGGGGGGCAAAACAAAAAGTAATGTAGAATGTGCTTTTTAGGGCGCCATTTTTAACCCAAAAGCTTAAGATTTAATTCAATTTACAGATTTTAGGGGGAGCCCGGGCCCCATGGGCCCCCCCTCTGTATCCGCCACGTGTATAATTACCTCAAGGGGATGCAGTAAAAATTGTTTCCAACTATTAACTCCATATTCCAAAGTGACATAATTCAATAGGAATCCATACAATAACGTAGGCAAGAGTATATAAATAATCGAACAGTTATCCTTGCTTCGTTCATATGAAGAATAATAATTGAAATAAATTATAGCCAAAGTAGTGTACGAAAGTGCAATAAACAAAGACTTCATAAAATCCAAATACAAATATTTCGAAAAGTTTCCCAAAAATATATCCAAATATCTTACAGTAAAAACTATAGCCAAAAGGATTTGTGTTTTGAATGATACACCTAAAAATAAAATTAAACAAATTGCGCAATTATATTTAACAGAAAAACTATTGCTGAAAAACCCTTACCTGCACAAGAATTGTTAAGTTTTATTGTTGCTAATAATGTTAAAATGGCTGCCAGATGGAAAACATCACCCACATAAGTAAAAATATTCATTTCACACATTTAAATCTCTTCTTAATTTTTACTTTAAAAATCTGCTACACCTATATAGCGTAAAAGTTAGTATTAAAAGATGTCCAACTAAAAAAATTACTCATGTATAAACCGCAAAAAACAGCATATTTTTTCAAGGTTTCAGCAAAACAATTATAATTATAATTCTATAAACTATCTGATACTATTTATGTTTTGATTATCCGTCTATTCGCAGTAAATACCAGCGCGAAAATGGGTTTTCCACAAAAAAATTATCTGCATTGATTTTTCCTGTTAAAAATATCGCCTTAATTAAATTTTAAAATATTACTTTCAAAGTCATATGATAAAAAAACCTTCCTGCAACATATTCTTCATTTATAACACGTGTATTTATTTATTTATTTTATAAAAAAATACATTTTCGGGTAGATTGATTCACTCTGTATAATTTTTTTAGTGTTGCCAATAGAAGAATTATTGAGACTTTTTAAATGTAGTGTTGGCTTCATTGATTACTGTCAACCTGTGCTGTCAACCTCAGCTGGTCAGCTGTCAACCTGACCTGATATAACCCAACCAAACCCAACTTTTTTGAACGGCATGTTTTCGTTTTTCATATTACCATAATTTTCTCGATTAATTAAAAGTGATAATGGAACCAATCAACTTTGATCAGCAAGAACAAATACGCCTAATGTAAGTATAAATCTCTACTTTTATAGAATAATAGTAATATAACAATTTAATCATCTATTATATTCTTTGATTATATTCTTTCCAAGACGATGTTGTATGTGTGGCTTGGAGATCGAACCCAATCCAGCCAATATGTGCGTAGGCTGCTTGAGGAATCAAGTTAATATCACAGAGGGAATTCCCGAACAGGCATCCCTTTATTTTTGCCGAGGCTGCGAAAGATACTTTCACCCTCCGTCCGAATGGATCCACTGTGCTTTAGAATCCAGAGAATTACTATCGATATGCTTGAAAAAATTAAAAGGCCTTAACAGGCTTAAACTTGTCGATGCGGGATTTGTCTGGACGGAGCCCCATTCTAAAAGAATTAAGGTAAATTTTATAGATATTTATGTATCAAGGGAGTTATAAGGGTGTTAATGCCAAGGGCAAAGTTTCTGTCCCTAGACACAATAATTGCTCAAGGTTATTAACACTTATAATTTATAATTCCCGTAGTACATAGACAATTTTATTGCTTACTGAATTTAGTATATATTTTGTCCTATTTTAAAACAAAATAAATGTTGCATTTATTAATCAGTATAATTATTGTATTAATGCTGCTGGTAGGAACTTTGTGCCATGTCACTATTGTATGAAATGACCTGTTTATAAATTGATGGTTGTTGTACACATTCAGGTACATTTCCATTAAAATGGAGAAAATATAAAAGTTGAAGAAGCACAACAAGCATTAGTTCTACCTAAAAGGGAATCTGTTTATCAAAAGGAACATAAAAAATAACTTTAGTTACTGGGACAGAAAAATATTGTAGAAGGGGATGTCGATGAACTATTCCCTTGTAAATTATATGCGACATTCATGATGGAAATGCATTATTAGAGTAGTTAGATGAGTGTCCATTTTTATTTCATATTATTATTACTCAAAATCTCTATTGTATTTCATCGTTGTTACCTATAAAGGGTAGAGGAAATTATGGTTTGGGAATATATACCTTACTTCCCATTAATAATGTCCTAAGCATGTTTTCTTTGTATCATGTATCCCTTTCTTACTGACTTTTTTTGTAGGTTAAGTTAGTTGTTCATGGTGAAGTAATGGGTGCAGTGCTTCAGAAGGAATTTATAGTGGTTTACACCATAACGCATCAGATGTGTGACGAGTGTCATCGGTCTGAAGCAAAAGATTTTTGGAAGGCTTCGGTTCAAGTGAGGCAAAAAGCAGAGAACAAAAAGACATTTTATTATTTGGAGCAATTAATTTTGAAACACAAAGCTCACGAAAATACCTTGGGTATTAAGCCTATTCATGGTAAGCCTGTTTATATTTAATCTAACATTTAGTTTTAATAAAATTAAGGTTCTTTTAGGTGGTATTGATTTCTTTTATGCCACAGAAGCACACGCAAAGAAAATGGTCGATTTCCTAACTACAGTTTTACCTTGTAAATATCAGCATTCCAAAAAACTTATTTCCCACGATATTCACAGCAATGTCTACAATTACAAATTTACGTTTAGCGTAGAAATCGTTCCTATATCCAAAGACAGTGTTGTATGTCTTTCAAAGAAAATGACACAAATATTGGCTGGCATTTCGCCACTCTGTCTAGTGTACAGAGTGACAAATACGTTGCATTTAATTGATCCAACAAGTGGGCAAAGTAAGTAGAAACATTTAAATGTAAAAAAAGGCAAGTGAGAAAAAGTACAGGGAAATCAATAAAAGTTGGCGCGAAACTATTACCAAATTAAATTTGTAATAAATAAAAATTTGTTTGAAACTTAGAGCGCACTTTTTCCTTTTTCTTAGACTATTATATTCTGGTTAAAAAAAGACAGCACACTATCGCATCAAGTAAACGAATTGGCCGTTAAAAAGGCTTTATTTAGGTAATAGAAATACCTAATACTAATTTTTAGTCTGTTACTAATTTAGATTTTGAGAATAGCAACTGTCAACAGTCCTCTTGGTTGCCATTTTATTGAAATATTGCTCTTTATTCAAAATCTGAGCCAGATAGGTATAGGACACCCTAATATATTTTGAAAGAGCTTTTAAATCTGCTTTGACTTATTTTAAAAAATACAGAGTGTTGCATTTGAAATAACGAAGTTTTGATGTAAAATAAATACTTAGAATAAACCGTCAATTTTTCATATCCCTGTATACATTTAAGGAAGCAATCAAATTTTTTAATAAAGTTTGTTTCTCTACCTTTAAACCTACCACAAGAATTAATTCTGAAAGGTAATGTACAGGCTGCTGACAAACTTTTTTTATTATAGCATGCATATTTAAATATTTTTAAATATGTCAAAAATTAAACACCCTGGACACCCTGTATACAGGATGTTTCAAAAAACGTGCCATCTCTTTTGAGTTTGGTTTGGTTCGGTTTGGTTATGCATTTTTAAATATCTTTAAATATGTCAAAAACTAAACACCCTGGACACCCTGTATACAGGATGTTTCAAAAAACGTGCCATGTCTTTTAAGGAGATTCCTGACGTAAAAATTCATAGATTTATTTTTCATATCAACATAGGTCCAATTCTGCTTTGTTTCGTAGCTACAGGGGGTTTAAGTGTTAATTTTTTTTTTCAATTTATTATAATTTTCTTCAAGTGCTTTTAATGCTAAAAAAGTGTTGACAGATTTATCAGGGACGTGTTGGCTGGAGTTATCACTGAAATATTTTTCTAAAAAAATCATGTGCGCCACTGTCTTGTTTTCTCCTGTTAGAAAAATTGTGTAGATTGTGTGGTTCCTTGATGAGATAAACGCAATTTTATTAATTAAAAATAATAAATTATTTATTTAGTCTAATTCATTATTAAATTTTATCAAAATTTATAACACTAATGTTAAGGCTAATGTTAAATTAATAAAATTGCGTTTATCTCATCAAGGAGACCGAAATCGACAAAATACCAAGAGAGAACTTTTATCGGCATTAAACGACCTGTACAACTGTGCTATTAGGAGAAAAAAGCCAGTGGCGCACATGTTTTTTGAAGTGAAATTTCTTTACGCGCGGTGGGAGTAAAAATTCAAAGCCGTGTTATAAATTATTTATTAATTAGATACTATAGACAATTACTATACAATACAGACGAACAGACGGTCATTTTAATACAAATTTTGTTAAAGTGAATCAAATTATTTATTAATTTTTAATTTATTACTTTTTCAAACATGTCCTTCAAATCCTTCAATTTAATAGCTGTTGAAATTTTACTTCAAATATAGTGCACACACAATTTTTTTTAGTAAAATACTTCAGTGATAACCCATATGCACGTCCCTGGTGAATCTGTCGGCACTTGGTTATCATTAAAATATGTTGCATTTATATCAGAGTAATTCTTACTCTCAAAATTTAGTTAGAATTGTTAAAAGCACTTGGAAGAAAATTATAATAAATGGAAACAAATGAAGACTTAACCAAAGAATCAGACCTATATATGTTGATATAAGAAATAAATCTTATTTTTATGTGAGGAATGGCACATGTTTTTTGAAACACTGTAGATGATGATTATTTTTAGTTGCTGAAATCAACAGCAACACTTACTGGAGAAATCAATTCAACGCGATATTTAATCCTAAACAGTTAGTAGAGTATGTTGTCATGGATATTGAACCGATCCTGGATAAAGATAGGAAGTTTTTTCCTGGCCAAGGGAATATATCGAACCGTCATATCTTGGCCGATATTTGGCTGGTAAAAGCTTCAGAATTAGGAATTAATGACAATACTATACATACCAGAACGCACTTAGGCCATATATTGAAGCCTGGCGACTCTGTTATGGGGTATGTATTAAAAAATAAAGCTTTACGGAAGCACACGAAGGTACAGTTCATACCTCAAAGTTCATACCAAATAAACTTTTAGTCACGTGATTAATCTTGACCGGCACAGCGTTGCCCACTATTATATATTTTCTTCTAATCAAAATATTTTAAGATACAAAAATAAATTAGTTATAAATATATAAACAGTTATTATTTACATCAACAAAACTCACCTTCATAAAGGGCCATTACTACCGCTTTTCCGTTTAAAATATTCTAATAAAGTTGCGATTAGTTTTTTTCGGCTTTTAAGCTCCCTTGTAGTACACTTCGCACTAAAAGAGGTTCTAAAAAGAACAATGTTATTTAATATATTTAATAATAATTATTAATGATTATTTAAACCAAAAACTCGTAATACAAAACTAAAGTGTCAAAACAAATGACAATGTCAGGAAATCATGGAGGAATAAGAGAGGGGAGATGCTACTACACGTATTTCTGTAGGATAAAAACAGTCTCACTTCGTTGTTTGGGCGGGGCCAAAAGTGGACCCTTTGGACAGGACCTGATTAAGTAAAACTTCAAATAATAGAAACAAACAATGATTAAAATTTGCCTTGAGCTAATGTAAAATCATTGTGTAATATCAATCGTGTGTATCGCAATGAACAAATTACTTGGCATTACTACACCAAAGTTAAAATAGGCATAAAATACTAATTAATGTTCATTCGTTAATTCGGTCATTACGGACCTGCGCGCTGTTTATGTTATCTCTGAAATGTTACCCCGGTGAGTTTCTTCGAGTCGATACCTTTCCTGCTCTTACTCTGCGTACAGGATACAACACCATGGTTTTTAAGGTTTTTGTAATAGAAAACACTCAAATTATCGATGAAAAACATTAAATTTTGAGAAAAATGCACAAATTACAAAAAGGACCACAATCTAATATGGCGGGCGGCTCTTTTCCCAACAGCTGTAGCGCCTCCCCTCTCTTATTCCTCCGTGCTGGAAATAAATAAATAAATGTAGCAATTTGACATTTTTGACAGCAGAGCTACCACCCGAATCCCCAGCGCGAAATTTAAATTCCAGTTAGTCAGCACGGCGCCGAATATGTCCATAGTTGGCAACAATGAATTTAAAAATCGCGCCCTTGATTACGTAACTAAAAGTTTAACTGATATGAAATATAGTTATAGAAGGGTTATAGACAAGGGTTATAGGGAGTTTTTGCATTGAAATGTAGTGAAAATTTCTAAATTTCAATTAAATTTTTAATTTTTTTTCCTGTAAAACACGAAAACGGTACACCCTGCACAAGAACAACAGTTAACCCAATTAAGTTTACCGTTCTTGCACCCTGCATATATGTCACTATGATGCAGTAAAATAAGTATTTTTAGATATAATTTGGATGAAAGTAACGTTAACGATTCGAACTTTGACAAACTAAACAAAGAAAACATACCCGACGTTATCTTAGTGAAAAAACATTTTGGTGATGGAGCTCACAAAAAAAGAAGCCATAGGATTTGGAAACTGAAGAGATTGGCGGAGGAAGACACAGGAAGCGTCGACGGAAAGTAAGACTACTCTCTTTCCTTTGTATTATATAAAAAAGTATTTTTTCTGTTTTATTTTCAGAGATTTTAATGAATTTATGGACGATCTAGAGGAAGATCCGGAACTAAGAAGGAATGTGAACATATTTAAAGACAGTAAAGCAACTCCTGTCGATGATAATGATGTTAATTATGATCCTAACGAACCCCGTATCACGTTGGAAGAGATGTTGGATGATTTAACTGTCGATGATGTTGAAATGGCCGAATAAAAAAAAGTAAAATCAATATATAAGATTAATATACTTGTATTTTATTTTAACAATTTAGAGTTGTACTTGTTTCAACTGAAGTAATACAACAGATTATTGTTTTTTTACAGTTATCGTCGCATTTTTCTTTTAGATAACTATCACTTTCTCTGCCCCTGTATCTATAGTATTTTTCGGCTAGTGCGTTGTCAGAATTGTTCGTGTTCATATTTATGAACAGAGATTTTAGACTTTTGAGACTTAAATCTTCTAATCCGTAAGCATCTTTGAAAGAGTATAGTTTGAACCACTGAGGAGGTACATTGCTGTTTTCATTGGCTTTGGTTAAGTTGTAGATATAGTGATCATAGTTTGTTACAGTCTGAAAATAAAATTCTTATTAAAATGAGGGTGCATATAGTGAATATTTGAATAATAAATAAATAAATAAAGCGGGAAAATTAATGACTTGATGTATTATTAGTTGCATACCTTACGATCAATATTCAGCAGTGGGATTCTGTAATCTCTAATTCTCGATATTTTTGGGACTTTGAGGTACAATACCTTGGATTTGTGAGAAAATTAATTTTTTAGACCCCCTTTTTTCAGCTATTTGTGAAGGCTAAAACGTCCCCTACACCAATTACTGTTCTCGTAAGAATACAATGGTCTATATTTTCTTATAATACACCTTTTAATTAGTAAATAACAGCAGTTTTAATAAAATCGGTAAAATGACGAAAATCGCCTATTTTCATGACTATACCGGGTGTGTTTCAAAAGTGGCTCACCTCTAACTTTTTTTCACATAAAAATACGAGATTGGTATGTTAGTATATGACATAAATTAGGATTGATTGACGTAGGTATTCAATTGTTTTTGGTCACTTTCTGTTTCACCGGAAATAACTACTTTGATTTTTAAATGGTACCGTTTTTTTACTTTATTCGATAGAAAATGACACTGAGTAGAATGACATATCATATGTCAATATTTTCTCATATAGTTTATTTGAAATTGTAACGTGCTGTTCATAACGATAATTTGACTCGAAATACCAACCGTGTGGTACCAAATTATTCGTAAAAAATGCTTTTTCCCAATATTCGTTCTATTTGAAAAAAATTGTGATATGCCAGGACAAGACACGAAAAACATTAGACGATTAAATCTATTTTTTCAAGACTCTTTGAATAAAAATTAGTGTTTCTAACACAGCCATGGCACTGTAGATTGAAATTTACAATACAATTTTTTTAAAGCAAAAATATCAAGAGTTGACATATGATATGTCATTATATTCAAAGTGTCATTTTCTATCGAATAAAGTAAACAAATACTGAGGGTGTCATTTAAAAATCAAAATTTTTAGTCATTTCCGGTGAGCATTTTTCCGTTTCCTATAGGGTTACCGCAACCGAGATTGCGGTAATCGCATAGGAAACGGACTCGAGACCTGAAACTCCATTTACTAAGTGGTCATCACAACCCATGCAAAGAAGCGCTTGCAATGAACTTTCTAGGTATGCTCTATTTGTAGTCACTTAGGACGCAGAAAATGGGACACTCAATATTACTTGTAACCACTACACTATAACGAAACTATAAGAATGAAGATTTAAACAATTTAATTTGACAATTAATCAATTAAATAAAATTACAAAAATATTATTCCAACAATGAAAATCATAATAATTCCATCCATTGATTTATATAGAGTGGATTGCGATAATTGTAATGCCATGTACGTATAGGTCAAACAGGTAGAAATTTAGATATAAGGATTAAAGAACATATAAGAACTATTAATAATCTCCAGCAAAGTTCCGGTCTAGTAACTCATGATATTTTAAATAGTCACACAGTTAATGAAAACTCAATTAAGTTATTAGATAGAGAAACAAAAGGCAGACGCTTAAATTACCTAGAATAGTTAGAAATATTTAAATCATCAGCTAAAAACGACAATAATGTAAACGACCAACAAGGATTTCTAAATAAATTTTTTATTACCCCTATTGTAAACTCCTTAAATCCACCACCATAGCAAATAGATTATATATCCTTAAAATGTAGTCGACGGTTAGTTTTTAAAGAACTCTTAAAAATGCCTAACTAAGTTACTCTTTTTAATTATTTTTGATACATCTAAAAGCGTGTTTTATTAAAATTCTAATATTTCAACAATGTTTCACAAGGAACCAACCACCGACTCAGCACTATTTATTCAAAAAAAAAAATTGACATATCAACCACGTCTTAAAGCTGTGTTGCCGAACTGCCTTGCCAATCTTAGCATATAAAACGTTAAAAGTTACCTATTAGATTTATCTCTCAATTATGTTGCTTTTTTTGGAATCCAGAATAAAATACCTCATTATTATTAATTTATTAAATTTATCACCTATATGCAGGACCACCTGTCATAACAATAATATTATGACTCATTATAATAATATCATTTGCATTGGTTGCGTTAACCACTTAGTAAACGGAGTTTCAGGTCTCGAGTCCGTTTGCTATGCGCTTAACGCAATCGGTTGCGCTATATACGGCTAGCGGAGGAAACGGAAAAATGCTTCCGGTGAATACAAAAGTCAAAGCAATAAGACTCTAAGTCTCGGTGTCAACATTTATGACAAGGTTAAATTGTTACACGTGTTTCGCTCATACGAGCATCATCAGATCTAGCAGGAAAGAACAACGAAACACGTGTAACAATTTAACCTTGTTATAATAAATGTTGAGCCCGAGACTTGGAGTTTTATTGCTTGGGCTTTTGTTTTTATAAACTAGGTCTCTTTGGGATTAATGGACGCCTTTTTTAAATTTCCGGTGAAACAGGAAGTGACCAAAAACAATTGAATACGTCAATCAATCCTAATTTATGTCATATACTAACCAATGCCTTCTATTAAAAGATCAGCCTACGGGCGGACTTTTGTTTACTTCATCAGCTGTACATACTTAGATATTGGGTTAGATTCCGTTTCATATTTTGTCGGTTGATTTTTGGTTTTAACTCTTTGATTTTTGGTATTATTTATTATTGTAGTGCAAAAAACTAATTATTTTGGTGTTGAAGTGACATAAACTACTACCAGATATATGGTCACTCTCGGTTTCGCACCAAAAAATAGAAATTTTAAAAATTACACGTTGTGCAAGTGATTTAACCTAAAAGTGCCCATACATTTTTACTTATCGTGATTTTTGTGTGTGTTTTTAAGACTCTAACAATTCATCAATAAAGCTTAAGTGGAGTGTGTTATTGGTGCTATGCCTCATCTTTGTTGTGTTCCTGGTGGAAAGGATGGTTACTAAGGATAGTTATTATACTAGGCAGCCTAAAGTGTCCGGAAGAGCAAGAAAAGTGGGTACGAGTTATAAATCAAGAGAATTTTATTGAAAATATCTTTAATAAATTTAAAAATAATATTCTCCCATGATGGTATTAATGAAAACTGGACAATTATGTTTATTTTATTCATATTGTGGAATCTCCACTCCAAGTGTTGCTGGTTCAGCTTCGATAGATTCAAACACGTAAGTAGGTATTATGATCTAGGGAAAAAAAAAAGAATATGTGTATTAGAGATCATGAAAAAAAGATTATTATTTTGAGTTCAAATTTTAAAAAGATTTTTGTAAAGACAAGACTGATACAGTTTAAAAGAAGAATGTGTTTTTGTTTGATAATATATAATGTATGTTAAGCATAACATATATTTGTTCAGTAATTTTTAATGAATAGTATTGATTATTTATAATACCAAATTAATATCAAATATTTAAGTGATGGCTGAATACAATATGAATAAAATAACAATAAAATTGGTATATTTGCATAATACAAAATTAAGTTTTAAGAATAAAGGTGTTACTAAAAATACTAAGAAATTCATATTTCTTTGTTTTTAATTGGTCTAATGTTATTTACATTTTACGTAAGAATTATACCGTATCATCGAAAAAATCGGCGTCTAGTTGGCTTGGAAATGAACATCGATGACATTCCCTAAATAACTGTACACATAAAATAATTAACTAGAATTTTACAATCTTGGAAAATTTGATATTCTTGAACCTTGATTCTAAATATTCTAAATTTTTTGATTTTCTTGGAATTTAGGTTCGGGAAAACGCTGATTGATTTTTCATTTGGTTTTCATTATTTTTTATTTGGTTTTAAAAAAAACGGTTCGGCTAACATTATAGCCTCCATCAGTGTTGTGTCATATGAAAAAATAGTGTCGAATATAATCCAAAAATTGCATATAAAATATGCACACCACGCACATAATGTTTACTGCGTACTCCATAGTCAATGTAGATAATTTTAGTGTTAAGAATAATAATTTTAAAAAAATATGTGGTCATCTTTTGATAAGTTTATATTAGTTTATTAATTGCAGTAAACATTATGAGGTGTGAATTATATTGTATATGTAATTTTTTGGATTATATTCGACACTATTTTTCTCATATGACACAACACTGTGAAGGCTATAGTTAGCCGGAAACGTTTTTTTTAAACCGAATAAAAATAATGAAAACCCAAATGAAAAAACTTAATCAGCGTTTTTCCCTGAACCTAAAAATCCCAAGAAAATCAAAAATTTTAGAATAATTTAACATATAAAATGCCAGCGATCTTCATTTCATAGCCATCGCTGACGCCTTTTTAGATAATATTGTATTATTTGTAAATATAATTTTTCGAACATTGATACTTGCAAAATATACATATAAATTTTGTGAATGCAAATAATAATACATCACTATTAGTAGATATTCAATGTTTTTGTTAAATTAGATCGATTTTCAAACCCCAAAATTTAAAATATATTTACATTTTACCCATTATCTTATGTACCTATACATTATTTGTACATTGTAAAACATTTGCTGCATATGTATGGTTCATAGTTTATTTGCCAAAGTATTTATTACTATAAATAGGTATATATGTTGTAGTTATTAACTGTATATTATGTATATTTCATTTAAACTATATCATTTTTAAAATACAAACCAAAAATCTGAGGAATAATTATGTTTTCCATGTATTCTACAACATATTTATTAATCCGTTATATCTAACTAGCGTGACGTCATAAATCTCGCCCCCAGGCTGATCTTTTAATAGAAGGCATTGTACTAACATACCAAATCTCGTAGTTTTATCTTGAAAAACCAAAAAGTTATAGGGGTGAGCTATTTTTGACACGCACCTGGTATCCATCGAAAAATATCGAAAAAATTTCCATTTTGTCAATTTTTTACACATTTTCAAGGCATTAGAAATGTAGTGCGCATACATAAAATTATGAACATTTCAGCATTTGTAGGAAAATCTATGTAGATTCAGCGTTGATTTTCAGCTATTTTTGAAGGTTAAAGATCGACTCTGGGAGGGTTAGTGGCAGTACTTAATACCACAGATCATACAGATTATAAACTTTGTTTTTTCTTTATTGTTTTGGTTAGGTTACTTGTTTGCGCACATAGCATGCCCACTTATGGCCTCTAAAATTGTGCACAGCGCCTGACCGGCACAGTTATTAGAGAGATGTCGGAAAACCGAATAGCGTCATGCAGTATTTACGCGTACCTTATCATGGTTACGATATGCGCGAGTCAATTTTTAACACCCGCTAATAACGTTCCCGCCTGACGTAATTTGCGGATCAATTACACCAAGCGCTATTTCTAAATAACGTTTAAAAATTGCTTAAATGGGCATGTGCGGGTATTTGACAACCGGGGCCGGCTGGCGAGATCTTTTATTTTAGGTTATGTTTGAATTGTTTTGAATTATTACTTTAGTTTTATTAGGTAATTTGATATTTAAGTAGCTGGGATTAGTTTTAATTAAATAAATATGGCCCAAAATATGGATTCCACCTCTTCCAATATTAAAAAAGAACCTATAAAGAGGCTTCGGTTTACAGCAGATGACGACTTAGCCCTTCTAAGAGAATTTGCTGCTTGTTGCCCTAAACCCACTGGCAGACGTTGAACAATAAAGCACTGGAAATAAGCACTTTAGCCCTTTAGTTTTAAAATACCTAGTAAACAAAACAATTTTAAAGTTTTAAATTCAAAGTTAGGTTAAGTTTAAATAGCGGGCGCGACGCGAACAGAATTCTTTTCGATCCGATAACTGTAAATGAAGAGAGTTAATACCACCTCACGTAAAGGAAATAACACCTGTCCTTATTAACGTCCATGCACGCTATTCGGTTTAGCGATATATCTCTATTACGCTGTTTATTGTTATTTTACGCGAGTTTATTTTTGCGCATAGGAAATTTTACTCGTTTGCACATCGTCATAAAAAACAATTTTGGTACCACGAATTAGGGACAATATTTTTATCTGTATACTTATAGGATACCTAATCTGTGTTAATACTGCAACTGTACTAGGTTTAAGTTAATTTGCTCTGAAAGGTATTGTTACTGCGGAAAAAAATATTTGAATTGGCCTGGATTTTCTATTTTGATTGGCATTATTAATTTCTTTTGTGACAATTTTATTTTAATATGTCCAAAATAAACCATTTTAACGTTTTTATAGATTTCTTTCTGGGTGGGGTAATTACTTCCATTACCCCTCCCGTTTATGCGCCCCTGCTTACCAGTTCTGAGCTGTCTACTTGGTATATCCTGTAGTTAGGATTATAACCGACAAACGTGGTGAAACTTGCACCATTGTACGCCACGTTCACAGGTTCTTCATTGTCTAGGAACAGTCGAAACTCGTCTATGTGAGTGTGGCCATTGAACTGAGCAGTGATGGTTTTAGCGAACCTAAAAAAATATATAAAAAATCTACTATGATCGAAATAAAAGTAATACACTCAGATGCAAAAAAGCAAAGGATTTTTTTTTCGAAAACGCCCTAACTTTAAAACATTCTGTGCAATAATTTCGTGACCAAATTTTCCTAAAGCGTTATTTTTCTCTCAGAACCATGTCTCTTGAGCATTTTGTTTTGTATCTCATGTCAACAAATGCCGTGGTTAATTTTTAAAAGCGAGATGAACTTGGCCTCCCCCCATAATTCTGGTGATTCAAAAAAAAAATAATTAATACTTTACTATCAGAATATAAACGAAAATAAAATAAAAAAGTTTTTGCCCTGACCCGGTCTCAAACCGGGTCTATCTTCGGTTCGTAGTCGGAACTCCACGCGCTGCGCTATGGGGATTTATTCGATTTATATTCAATATTAGAACCAATACTTTAACCGACTAAATAAAAAATATATATAGGGTCCGGCAATAGTGCGTCGGGCATCTGTAGCTCCTAGAATAAAAAACTTGAGAGTTTTGTTTAAGTGCAAATCTAAAGTATGTACCAGGATGTATTTCAGGAAAATATGTAAACTTCTATAGGGTGGCTCAAAAAAGTGTCAGTGGACCTGGATGATTTTTTTTAAATGGAAGACCCTGTATATTATTGCATTTTTGGCTTCCTTTCAGATCACTTTACATAACCCTAAGATATGAATAAATATATTTCGATAGTTTCAGAGATATTAAAAAATAAATCAAAAATATATATTTTTCAGCCCTTCTTAAAAAAAATATTAAAAATACAGGAACTGTTCTGAAATCAAAAGTATATTAGGTATTTACTTTAGATGGTCTGTTCTTACTTTGCTATAAATATGGTAATCGTAAATCATACAGGATGTTCAATATTCTACGCCAAACTTTCTAAGATATAAAATATTTTTTCTTTGTTTTTTTAAATGGAACACCCTGTATATTATCTTTTTATTAGATCGAGAGTTAAAAAATGAACATTTTTTGTATTTAGAGTATTTCAAAATTTTTAACGGTTTCGCAGATACACGCAGTATTATTTCATATGGTGCTGTCAATGGTAAAATACGAGAGAAAAATCATTGGGTGTGGCTTTGATAAAAATTTACTGTGGAAAATGCCATATGAAATATAAAACCGCAAATATCTGCGAAACCGTTAAAATTTTTGAAATACTCTAAATACAAAAAATGTTCATTTTTTAATTCTCCGTCTATTGAAAAAGTAAATATACAGGGTGTTCCATTTAAAAAAACGAAGAACAATTATTTTATATTTTAGAAAGTTTGGCGTAGAATTTTGAACATCCTGTATGATTTACGATTTTCATATTTATAACAAAGTAAGTACAGACCATCTAAAGTAAATACCTAAAATAGTCTTGATTTCAGAACAGATCTTGTATTTTTAATAATTTTTTTAAGAAGGGCTGAAAAATATATATTTTTGATTTATTTTTTAATATCTCCGAAACTATCGAAATTTATTTATTCATATCTTAGAGTTATGTAAAGTGATCTGAAAGAAAGCCAAAAATGCAATAATATACAGGGTGTTCCATTTAAAAAAAATCATCCAGGTCCACTAACACTTTTTTGAGCCACCCTATAGAAATTAAAATATTTTCCTGAAATACATCCTGGTACATACTTTAGGTTTGCACTTAAACAAAATTCTCAAGTTTTTTATTCTAGGAGCTACAGATGCCCGAAGCACTATTGCTGGACCCTGTATAGGATCTTCTTCCGATGCGCAGTAGTGAACGCAACGGGTATCGGCAGCCAGATCGGCCGCATGCTGTTGCAGAGGGCATAGTAAAAGATATATCAAAGGGCCAGCTTACTTACATAATACTTTCTCTTAGACTATAAGTCAAATTTTTTGTGCTGTATTATTAAATAGGTACGTTTTACTTTTCAAATACCTAAGAATTATTTTTTTAAATTGGTTACTCCATTGTTTATGACATGATTCTTCACCAGGAGGAACATGCGACAGCAAATGTACTTTTTCACCGTTTTTTTCAGCCAAAGCTAAAACTTGAACCAACCAAAGAAGTTGATCAAAAGGATCTTTGTCTTGATATAACAACCACCTAAAAATTTACATTTTTAATATTCTTCTTGTTTTTTTCGGGGTTACTTACAAATTAGTGGTGAAACAAACGTTACTGTTTAGTGCAACAATTCTAAAACCTGGTCTAACCAGTGCTGTATAAAATCCGCCATGTTTGATAGTAGATTGAGTGTCGTTTGGTAGCCATTTTGACCATTCTTGAGCTACCAGATCAAAGATCCACTCTGTTGTAACGTTGGTGGTTAGAGTTACTTCCGGAGAAAAACTATAGAAATAGAGAATTATAATAAAAACAATTCTTTATTAGTAAATTGCAATTAAGCTTCATTCAGAACGTCGACATTAGTGGAATAAATTAGTGGTTTCAATTATATATAGCCATAGCCTTTATATACTTTGGAAGGCGAAACAAAGTATCGACAGGCCTATAGAAAGTCTCGTCGATAGAAAGAGCAATGCTATATAAAACAATCCCGGAGTTCCCAATTGGTAAAGGAATACGAGAGGGAGACGCGATATCCCCACAGCTGGAGTAAAACACACAACAAAGGATTAATAATAAATGGAGAATATCTTAACCATCCAAGATTCGCTGATGACATATTCCTACTTGCCAATAGTCCTGAAGAACTACAAGCATTAGTGTACGAAGTAAATACAGCCAGCAATAAAGTAGGTCTCAAAATGTATTTAGCAAAAACTAAAGTAATGTACAACGAACTAGTAGACAGAAAAAACATTCTAATAAATAACACAACACTGGAAATAGTAGAAGAATATATATGTTTGGAAGAAGTAATACACAGATCGGGATATCTACTACCAGAAATCAACAGAAAAATTAAGTTAACATAGAGTACTTACGGAAAAAACTCAATCATATTCAAATCTAAAATGCCACTTTATCTAAACTATCTGAAAACTTAAAACGGACATTATGAGGAAATTGCAGGTCACATAAAGCTCAATGGAACGAAATATGCTGGGAATAACCAAGAAAGACCTAAAAGAATAGAGTGGATAAAACAAAAGACCCAGGTAAGAGATGTCATCACAGATGTCATGACATGAAACAGATGGACCACAAAAATTACAGCATGATACCGACGAGGAAGACTAAGAGACTTAGGAGAAACCCAAACTTGAGATGGGAGCATGATATTAGGAAATTAGCGGAGATAACTTGGGTCTGCATACCCAACAATAGACAACAATGGGCCCAACTACAAAGAAGCACAACAGGTTTCTTGATAGGACACATGGCCGTTAAGTGTTACCTGAACAAGCTCAACTTGTATCAAGGAAGTCTTTGCTGCAGCCTCTGCGATAAAGATCCTGAAACAACGGAGCACATAACATGTCACTGCGAGGCTCTTGATCGCCAATGACAATTTTTATTTGGGAATGTTAGGCTAGAACCGGAGGAACTATGTTCCCATCCTATCAAGGACCTGCATAAGTTGGTGCAGGGTACAGGGATAGGAGAACGGGCGCAGATATAGAAAGGGGACAAACACAATAGACCTCACAGGTCGCAGTGTTTCCGGCAGAGGACGGTCCCTTGTTATTGATAAAAAAATATAAAGAGACTACCTATCTAAATATCTGAGGCAGGCTACACCATAATTGGCAATAGTTGAATAAGCTGAAGATGATGATGCTTTTTTAGGTTTCAGGTTAATATCGAGGGTTATGTCTTGCGGCAAAACTTAAGTATAATCTAAAGATTAAACTACCGACTGAAGCCTATAAAACTGATTCTAATATTAGATACTTACTAGTCACTTGGATGAGATTCGTGATTGCCTAATATCGGAAAAACAGTTGTGTTTGGGAAAGTTTTAGCGAAATATTGCAAAACCAATCTAATAGCCTCCCGATTTTCCTGGATGGAAGTACTCCAAGACCTGTGACTAATAATATCTCCAGTGAAATATATCAAATCCAAGTTCTTCTAGAAAAGAATCATGTAACAAGTCTTGACCATAAAAATAAAGCATATTTACATGTTTTTCTTTGATTCTACTAAACAAATCATCGATGGAATGCAGTGGAGTGTCGCAAACGTTATAATCACCCCAAAAACCAGCTGCGTCTTCAGGGTTGGCTGGAGTACCACTATCGCAACACAGAGGATCAGCGCATTTTGCATTACTACCAGGTTTATACAAAGGGTCGTAGTGAATGTCTGTTAAATGAAGAACCTGCATCTCCTTTGTACCATTCTGGAAACAAAAATAATTATATAAACAATACAAAAAATGAATTTATATCAACTAAAACTACCTACTGAACTTTTATACAGGGTGTCATAGAACTACTACGTATTTTTGGAATCAAAATAATCATTGGACACGATTTACCTCTATACAAACAAAAGTGCCTCGTTTGTTCGCTAGAGGGCATTAAACTTTAAAAAAATAAACACATTTTTCCAGATATTTTAAGAACCGTTATTCCGACTCCGACTTGAATGAGATTTTGGGTGTCTATGTTTTGCTAAGTGCTTTAACGTTTGACTTTGACAAAAATCCAGATAAAATACGGCCAAAAAAAATGACAGCTGCGTTCGGTTATTATATGACATTTTAAACGAACAATTTAATTTTTGAAATAGATAACCACAGGTCTTCTCTTTATGTCACAGGGGCTGTGATAATCACGAAAGTTGACATTTAGGCTATACACATTTTTTTGACAGGCAGTTTTGTTCGTCCAAAAGTTTTAAATAATTTTTTTCTCAAAAACGGTTGATGTTAGGTATAGAGTGTTTAATATCAAAATTCATAAAATTATACAGAGAATTTAACTATGTAATAAAAAAACGGGAGCACCCATTTGAAATAAGAAAGTTCCTGTCAACTTCCGGTACTTCCGGAAGTGCCGTCATGTTGAAAATATTTTTAATCGATAGATCTCGTTGTGAAACAATGATATGCAAAAACTCGACCTAGATATTGTAGTTCTTTAGAAACTTTTAATGCACGCTCAGCCTGAGACACCCTGTATATAGTTCACAGCACCAGATTTTATTGATGATTTTAGCTACTTCAATTAGTGGAAATCGGAAGATTATGATGTTTTTTTGTTCCATCAAAATTATTTGTTGTAGGAGATCTATTGATCATAACTTTTATATCTCTGATTTAACTTACCACAGGATGAACAGATGGGTTAGTAATTGATGGGGGTGGTGGTAGAGGAATTGTCCACGGATCTGCATCTGGATCTACACATTGGTAGTGCTGTAGTCGAATAGCGCAAAATCTAGCAGGTGTAAAGTCCTTTTTGTGATCTATAATAAATAGCACTGAATCCTAAAAAACAGTAATAAAAAAATGTCACTTAAATTTTTAATATATAGCTTCCTGCTTTCCAATTGTACCAACTTATTTCTTTATAAAATAAAATAAACTACTTTGAAATTAAAATGACAGACACATCTATCACTGTCTTATCACTGTCAAGGATTTTGTTGTTGAACAGACTACTAGTTAAAATACTTGTACTTTTTTATGAGACACCATGTATACTTACGATATCGATATTAACGTATCCCTTGCAAGCATCTGGACTATTATCGGTGTATGCTCTGCACAGTTTATTCAAATAATCGACCATCACATCCTTGGTTGCTTCGCTTTTTCTCAAATCTATTACATTATCGATTACTTGTTCGCATGTTCTACAAACCATCTCTGATCTGATCGTTTTATCCTTAATATTTTTAATTCCTTTGACCATATCAATAAGTTTTCTAGGGATGTTGTCAGCGAAAAGTAGTTCTTTGGTCTCTTTATTAATTTCACGCAAAATTTCTGTTTAAATTAAAATAAAATAATAATAATCTTTTATATCTACTAGGTTTATTTATGTTAAAAAGTTAAAAACTGCATTTTTACCTTGCTTATGAACATAAGTGTTGAGTATAGTATATTTTTAGAAAGATTATAACAAGGCAAATAAAAAAGATGTATAAAGGGTGTCCCATTAAAAAAAACATAAGTTTGCCTAATATTTCGAAAATGACAGCTTCCAGCGAAAAAATAGCTATGCCACAAGTTTCTATGTGAAAAACTCTACGGAACTTAGTTTTCACCTTTTCGATAAGTTATAGGATAACCTAGATGCAAGGGGCGTCGGAAAATGCTACAATCTCAATTTCGCCCTGTATTTCAGGAACTAAGAGGGCTAGGACAAATCTGTATTTTAAAAAATAGCACAATTATGTGAAAACCCCATCATTGTATCCCATAAAAGATCGCGCACACTATACCTACACGGACCAGTACGGACCAGCACAGCACAAACCTGCATCCTGCATGACATCGCACACTTTACCGCCACAGACCAGCAACATAAGCGAGAGTTTCGAAAAAAGTACAGTTGTCAAGGCTCAACTACTAGAGCGTGCAACATAGAAGTATTGAAAATGAGTAGTTCAGAGGAAGAAATTATTATTTTAGCCATGTTGTGTGAAGAAGAGGAGGAGGAAGAGAAGAAAGCTAAGAAAAAGAAGATTTTGGGTTCACCCTATAAATCAAAAAGAGAAAGCAATATGGCGAATTTCATCATTTGTTTCCTGAATTAAAAGATTCGAAGAAAAGTTTTTCCAATATTTTCGAATGTCACAAATCAAATTTGATTATTTTTTTTTGCTATCGACTCCCATATCGCATCTTTTCTTTCTTGGTCTCTATATATAAAATGCTTGGCTCGTATCGCACAGCTCTGGATACTTTTGTACCAGTAAAATAAGCTTTTCTTCATTCATATTTAAAACGATTTAAAGGTTCGAACAAAAATAAACGAAATCTAACCTACATCATGCGACTTGAACCAGCTAGCGTACTCGAAATACTGACAAACCCTTCAATATTTGCATGTTTGTGGAGGTGTGCTGGTTCGCCGGTGCGCACATTAGGTCGGACCAGCACGACCAGGCATAAATATTGCTGGTCATATTTGTCCCTGACCGACACGACCTGTTTTGACGGTCGTGGCTTGTGGCGGTACGTGCTGGTACTGGGGTACTGTGCTCTACTCTATTAAATAACACGGTCACCTTCACCGGTAGATTTTACTGGTCTGGTCCGTGCCGGTCCGTGCAGGTATAGTGTGCGCGATCTTTTAAACACACGAAAATGGGACACCCTAAACATAAATAAACGATTTTTCAAAAATTCGAAAAAAAATTGTACGAAAACCCTTAAACGAATTATTAAATAATTAAAGGTTATTAAACTCACCTTCTTTATCGGGATATCCATATAGTACAGGAAATATAAATAATAATATGAAAACTAACTTGTCCATGTTGTTTGGTCGGTTCATTTTTCCGTACTGGTACTGGTCATCACTGGTCATTATTTTGAAACGAGAGATAAATTTAATTGAAGTAAACAAATAACTATAGAACGGCTTGAATGAAAAAAGCAGTGATAAAGTAAATGTTTGGTAATATCTGAATTTTGTACTTAAAATTCAAAAGCAGATAGTTTGTAGATTACATTTTAAATTGATTAAATAATTTGTTTAACAAAAGTAGTTTTTTCATGCTTACATCGATTTATGGAATATATGTTATACACAATTAACATAGTAAGCACTTCAAATATCTATATATAGACTTAGGTACATTGAAACTTGTTTAAATAAATCTTGTGTCATTTTTTTTCACAAATTTATGTCGTTTTTCTTGTAGAAAATGTCTCACTCTATCTGACAGTTCAGCACATCAGTACCATTATTTTCTCGAAGAAACTTAGGTACTTTTAAACCTCCTGTAACTTCCTTGTGAATAAAACGAGCATCTTAATTTTCAGTGATCAATAGGGACTATAAGGGTCCGGCAAAAGTGCGTCGGGCATCTATAGTTCTTAGAATAAAAAATTTGAGAATTTTGTTTAAGTGTAAATCTATAGTATGTACTAGGATGTATTTCAGAAAAATATTTTAACATCTACAGGGTGCTTCAGAATAGTATGAGTGGATCGGGATTTTTTTATATTGAACACTCTGTATATTATTGCATTTTGATTTACTTTCTGATCACTTTACATAGTTCTAAGATTTTATTAAATTTGTTTTTATAATCTCAGAGATAAATAAATAAAGGAAAAAAATATATGTTTCAGTTTTCTTTTAAATTATTAAAATTATAAGAAGTGTCCTGAAATCAAAACTAGGTACTTACTATAGTTGGTCTGTACTTACTTTATTATAAAAATCGTAAACTTAAATCATACAGGGTGTTCAAAGTTCGATATCAAACTTTCTAAACTGTAAAATAATTTTCTTTGTTTTTTTAAATGGAACACCCTGTATATTATTTTTTATTAAATGGAGAAATAAAAAACAAATATTTTTTGTATTTAAAGTATGTCAAAATCTTTAAGGGTTACGGAGATATTCGTGGTATTATGATTGCTTTATCGGTAAAATACCAGGGAAAAATCATTTTAGTTGGATTTGATAAAATATTAAAAATATTACCAATATTACTGTAGAAAATGCCATATAATATGTAATATAATACCGCGAATATATCTGCGAAATCGTTAAAAATTTGAAAATGCTTTAAATACAAAAAATGTCTATTTTTTAATTCTCCATCTGATAAACAAATAATATACAGGGTGTTCCATAAAAAAAATAAGAAAAATGACTTAAACACTGACTTGTATGTTTTAAGATCACGACATTTACAGCAAAGTAAGTTCAGACTATTTATAGTAAACACCTACTAGTATAGTTTCGATTCGAAGACATTTCTTATATCGGGTTCGTCTCAAAAGTGGCTCACCTCTATAACTTTTTTATTCTTTTGATAAAAGATCGAGATTTGGTATATTAATAAATGACATAAATCAGGATTGATCGACGTATTCAATTTTTTTTCTGTCACTTCCAGTTTCACCGGAAATGGCTACAACCTTTGATTTTTAAATGAAACCACCGACATTTTTTTATTTTATTCGATAGATAATGACACTCTGATTAGAAATGACATATCATATGTCAACTTTTGACATTTTCAAATAGGTTTTATTTGAAATTGCAACATACGATTCATAACGACAATTTGACTCGAAATACCAAGTGTGTGGTATCAAATTATTCGTAAAAAATGCTTTTTCCAAATATGCTAATGAGCCACCCTCGTTCCACTTGAAAAAATTCAGATATGATTAAAAATACGATCTGGGCATCTTTTAACCGGCCAGGACAAAATATGAATAACATTAGACGATCAACTCTATTTTTCCACGGCTCCTTGATTAAAAATTAGTGTTTTAACACATCCATGGCACTCTAGATTGAAATTTAAAATTAAATTTTGTTTTAAGCAAAAATGTCAAAAGTTGATATATGATATGTCATTCTATTCTGAATGTTAATTTCTATCGAATAAAGTAAAAAAATACCGAGGGTGCCATTTAAAAATCAAAAGTTGTAGTCATTTCCAGTGAAACAGGAAGTGACCAAAAAGAATTGAATACGTCAATCAATCCTAATTTATGTCATATACTAACATACCAAATCTCGTTTTTTTATCTGGTAACATAAAAAAGTTATAGGGGTGAGCCACTTTTGAGACGCACCCGGTATTTTTAATAATTTTTTAACACAGGCTGAAAGATATATATTTTTTATTTATTTATTAATATCTCTGAAACTATCGCAACATATTTACTAATATCTTAGGATTATGTAAAGTGATGTGAAGGGAAGCCAAAAATGCAATAATATACAGAGAGTTCTATTAAAAAAAATCATCCCGAGCCACTCACATTTTTTTGAACCACTTTATCATAACGTCAAATTATTATCGCTTTTAATTCCTCAGTCGTTTTTGACGCCGTTTTTTTTATCGTACAGTATTTTATAAATATTTATTGTAGTTTTAACAAAAAAAAAAACTTCATTCAATGCTTTTATTTAAAATAATAACCTCATATTTTTCAAGAACACCTTTTAATTTTTTTATCTTAACAATTCAAACTTTCCGAAGCTTCCACAGCTGTAATCTGACAGATTAACGTCTTCTTACAACTACTGTCGCATGTTCCGGCTAAATAACTGTCACCTTCTCTACCTCTCAACTTGTAGTACTCCTCAACTAAGGCGTTATCTGAATTGTTTAGGGTCAGTCTATCGTAGAGTCCCTTCAAGTTTGGCAAACTCAAGTCCTCCAACTCGTATTTTTCTTTGAAAGAATATAATTCGAACCACCTTGGAGAAACTTGGCTGTTTTCGTTTGCTTCTGTCAAGTTGTAGATGTACTGGTGAAAATCTGATACGACCTAAAACAAAACGTAAGAAAGTTTCACCTAGTCGTTCAGTATACAGGGTGGTCCGAAGAGTATTCGGAAAACTTATCCTGTACATAAAAATAAATAAAATAGTTTAGTATAAATGTATGTCCTAAAATGCTTCGTTTTGAAGATACAGGGTGTAGAAGTTTCATTTTTATTTCGATTTTTTCGTCGATTTCTAATTGGTGTCTGGGAATTTTTTGACATTGGAAATTTAATTTTGACGTCAATATGACTATCACACAATTAATAAAATTAACATAAAATTAATAAATTATTTATTTAATCTAATTTATTATTAAATTTAATTAAAATTTATATTACTGTTCCAGGGCTATTTACATCAAATTCATAAAGAAAATATTGATATTTAAGATAATTACAAAAGATCTGTTTTTTAAAAGTTATAACATCCTGTAACTTTAAAGCTATGTATTTTCGCACCCATGTTTTTAGTATTTTTTTCATATTTTTTGATGAGGAATCACTTAATACATATTTAACGCTTTGATCAACTGATCATTTGATTATTAATCATTAACTATTGACATTAAATTTTAAAGGTTGCTATTAAACTTGGATTAAGGTAAATTAATAAAATTGCGTTTATCTCATCAAGGAGATCGAAATCGACAAACTATGAAGATACAACTTTTAATCGGCATTAAACGGCCTACACAACTTTGCTAACAAGAGAAAAAGTCAGTGGCCTACAAGGTTTTTTTAGAAAAATATTCCAGTAATAATCCATATGCACGTCCCTGATGAATATGTCGACACTTTTTTAGCATTAAAATATGTTTTAACCTACATGCGGTTAAAACACATTTTAACCCCCTGTAGCTACGAAACGAAGCAGAATCGGATCTTTGTTGATATAAAAAATAAATTTAATTTTTACATAAGGAATCTCCCCACGAGAGATGGCACATGTTTATTTAAACACTCTGTATAATATTACAATTGAATAATGACCTTTTTACCATGACAAGAAAACAAGAAAATACTGTAAATAGTAAAATTATTCATATACAGGTTGTTTTAACTGGTTAGGAAGTTACTTATAGGGGAACAGAATGGTAACATTGCCTATTGAGAAAGCATGCACTTATAGGGTTTTTTGCCGATTCGTCCCAAGAACAGTTAACCTAATAGGATTGCTCATTCAGCCAAAAGTGTCCGCCAGGTGCATGCGAAAACTACTCGCTTTGTGACGTCATTGTAGCCCTTGTCATGATTATTAGTCCTTATCCGGCAACCAATAATATACACACGTGCATTATTGGTTACCGAATGCAAAACGTTCATTATTTAGTTTATTTATTAACCTTATATGTATGCAGTAAAGAAAAGTAACTGTATAAATCGTATTAAATACACGGATAATGCATTTTTAAGAACAACAAGTCCCATCATCACCTTTTGCAAGCATTCTTTTTAGAGCACTTCCATATTTTGCTTTAAAATAATTAATAAACAAAATCTTGGGCACTTAGTAAGCACTTTGTCACCAATCCACAACATAAAATGAATGTATTTACACACTCTATAACTCTAAAAACTTTAAAGACACCTTTTTCACATTTAAAATTGACAAAATAATTAACTCAAAATTTCTCAGCTGTTATTTTTATAAGTTTACCATAGGCAACTAAAAATACACACTATCATAACAAGGCCACGAAGGCTTTGACAAGGGCTACAATGACGTCACAACTGTCAGCTGAAGCGCGGGAAGAGGCGAACGTACGTCTTATGAGGATGAGCAATCCTATTAGTTTACCGTTCTTGGATTCGTCCCGTCGCGTAGTCTATCGACGAGCGGGCCGAGGTTGCCATATTTCAACCATAAAGCTCTTGCCGCGAGTAATAAACAAATTAACAACCTGTATATTCTATTGGATATTACTTACTAATTCTCGGCTATCAACCTCGTATATCCTGTAGTTCGGGTTGACTCCAACAAAAGTGGTAAAACTGGCACCGTTGTAAGCTACGTGGACAGCTTCACTATTATTGTTTATAAATAACCTGAACTCGTCCGCATGTATATGTCCATTAAACTCACTAACTATAGTCTGGGAAAACCTGAAAATATGTGTAAGTTGCATCACTCTGTTTTGATCCAATATACAGGGTGAGTAAAAATTAAATAAGTGCAAATATTTTCAGGGCTAAATTAGGAGTGATGACGTACCTATTCAATTCTTTTCGGCCACTTCCTGTTTCTCCGGAAATTACTACAACTTTTGATTTTTAAATGCCACCCTCGGTATTTTTTTACTTTATTTAATAGAAAATGACACTCTGAATATAATGACATATCATGTCAATTTTTGACATTTTTGCTTAAAACAAAATTGTATTTAAAATTTCAATCTAGAGTGCCATGGCTGTGTTAAAAACACTAATTTTTAATCAAAGAGCCTGGAAAAATAGATTTGATCGTCTAGTGTTTTTAGTGTCTGGTCCTGGCCGGTTAAAAGATGCACAAATCGTATTTTTAATCATATCACAACTTTTTCAAATGGAACGATGGTAGCTCATTAGCATATTTAGAAAAAAACCTTTTTTTACGAATAATTTGGTATCACACACTTACTCAACCACACACATATTCGAAAATGTCAAGGGTTGACATATGTCATTCTATTCAGTGTTATTTTTTATCGAATAAAGTAACAAAATACTGAGTGTGCCATTTAAAAATCAAAAGTTGTAAAGTGACCAAAAACAATTGAATACGTTAATCAATCCAAATTTATGTCATATACTAATATACCAAATCTCGATTTTTTATCTGAAAAAGTAAAAAAGTTATAGGGGTTGAGACGCACTTTTGAGACGCACCCGCTATACCAGCCCTAAAATATTTGCACTGATTTAAGGCTCACCCTTTATATTAAAGATAAAGTTGGTAAGGAGAATGAGTTTCCATACGTTGCGATTTAACTTTGATGAATATTTTTAGTTACGATGTCACAAATCTACTAAACCGACATTGTTCGAAAGTACTCATATTTATCTGGTAAATTTTTGCCTTTTCGTCGGACAGAGTGTAGTTCATGCTAATTATATATCATCATCATCATCATGAACCAGCCTCTAAAGTCCACTGCTGGACGTAGGCCTCCCTCGTTTGCTTCCATAACTCCCTATCTTGAGCTATTTGCATCCAGTTACTGTAGATACGCCTTAAGTCGTCATGCCATCTGGTTGGAGGACGGCCTCTGCTATTATTGAAAGCATCATGTCTTGGTCTCCATTCTATTATTTTCTTCGTCCATTGGTCATTGTTCGGTCTTGCAATGTGCCCTGCCCAATTCCATTTTAAAGTAGTTATTTTCTCTAAGGCATACATGACTTTTGTTCTGTCTCCCCCGTACTTCGATATTCGGTACTTTGTCTCTCAGAGATAGCCCCAATATTGATTTTTCCGTTGCTCTTTGTGTTATTCTGATGTTGCTTACTGTTTTCTTGGTTAATGTTAGGGTCTCCGTACTAATGTTAGAAGAGGTAGTATGCATTGATTGAATACCATAGGCATATCTCGTATTCAATCAATGCGAAAGTGTGTAGGTTAGGTTAGGTTAGGTTGCTGGTGTTTTGGGTCATGTTTGATCCCTCACTCGGCGGCCTTGGGCCCATTGCGATACCCCTGTTATTAGGTTCGTTCCAACCGGACCGAGAACCGATCCTGGGACGGTAATTTCTAGTCGCCCACTTATTGTTTGAAAAGTTTGATCGTTTGTCAAGATTAACAAATGAATTGACTGATAGGAAATTACCGTTCTAGGACGGTTCTCTCGTCTGGTTGGAACAAACATATTGTTGTACCAAACCTTCCTCTCATTCTTTCTTTGCGTTAAAGCACTTCCAGCTCAACAAAGTTCCCGATGTCGCTGATGTTGGCTTCTGCTGCTTCCTCTAGTCCCTCCAAAAAACCTTGCCCTAAGGTTTTAAAGCATCTGTATTCCAGTGCCGGACAGTGGCACAGCAGGTTGGTGCTCTATGGTTTCTTCTTCCTCTCCGCATTCTCCGCAGTAGTCGTCGTTGGAAACTTTCCATCTCACGAGGTTTACTCTCGTGGAACAGTTTCCAGTGACGAGACCTACAATTATGCGTACTAGATCCTTTTTCCGCGAAAGTTTGTATGTAACTATTGAAATGCTCAAAGTTTTCTCTTCAACTAAAAAGGGTTAATTCAATTCTGATGTCATTTGTAACGTATGCAGTACAAATCTTATTATTAGGCAAAAGGGTATATTTAACACTTTTTCATCGGTTTTTAACTACCCCTTTAAAGTAAAGTCTGACTATCAGAGAAAATATCGTCAGACGACATCCAAACAATGACAGAAAATTACAATTTATCTGTAAATTAAAATGACAGACAACAACTCTGACTGTCAGGTATTCTTCGAGAGAAACTTGACATGTCTAAATAGATTCATTATTAACAACTTTCATTATCAACTTATGTTTCAACGAAAGCTCACTTATTCGGATTTCCAAAAACTTGTAGGAAAACCCCAGATATTACCTTAAAATTATCTGTTTCAATTGATTACCCCACTGCCTGTGACAGGTTGTTTCTCCCTGAGGGATATGCGATAAAAGATGGACTTTTTCACCATTTTTTTCGGCTTCATACAAAACTTCCACTAACCAACTCAGTTGTCCGTAAGGGTCTACATCATCATAACTCAACCACCTAAAATATTCAAACCTCTTTAATACTTACGATAAACAGATCTGGTACTCACTGACAAGTTTCCTAAATAACAAACGTTGCTGTTGATGGTAACTATTCTAAATCCAGGCTTCACGAGAACTGTGTAAAATCCACCTTGTTTTATGGTTGATTGAGTGGTATTTGGTAACCAGCGAGACCATTCATCTGAAACCAGATCCAAAACCCACTGGGAACTGACGTTGTCAGATACTTCTGTTGGCGCATAACTATAACGAAATATACAAGGTGTTTGAAAAATTCATGTCCCAATTTGAGGGGATGATTTTTCATAAAAAAATTGGCGCCGGGAGGCACGTATAGCCGCCCATACTAAAATATGTTAATATCTCGAAAACTGCGACTTTGACTGATTTTGATGTTATTACAAACTAGGTTTTTCCCGCGACTACTTTCGCGTTACACCTCGAATAGTCCATGCATTGATTTAAATGAATTACTTGGTATATAGAGCTAGTGAGCCTTACAAATGCCCTATTTAAACTATGTTTTTAAGAGTTTTAGAGCTACTCGTATTTAATATGAAAGTTATCAATTGTCGATTTTCTGGGTATTATACAGGGCAGGTCTTGAATAAGTGCAAATATTTTCAGGGTTGGTAGATCTCGATAAAAAACCATATTTTCTCTTTACCGTTTTTCAAATAACTCCAAAATAACTGTGTTATTTTACTTTAAAAATTTCTAAAAAAAAACTATTTTTTGCTTAAATTTTGAGAACCCTGCAGCTTTTGGGGTTTTTCTGTCTTGTAAATTTAATCTACTCCCTATCTATGTTGCCATGTTATCAAGAAATTATGGTTTTTAACTAAAAACTAAAAAAAATCCAAAAAGTTTTTCAAAAAATTCCAAATTTTCAAAAAAAATTTTACGAATAAACTCATAATCGTGTTTCTGGGGTCAAATATATCTACTACTGCTAAGAATAATTGCACTTATTTAAGACTCGCTCGACAAAAAACCGATATTGTTATTTTTGACTTATTACATATTTTTTACTTAAAATTTATAAAAAGCCGTCAATATTCCAATTTTAAGAGCATTTTTATTCTCTTTAAATATTATTAGGTACTTAAGAAAATTCGAAAATTTAAAAACCGTTTTATATTTTTTCATCGCCTGTATATGACTTTATGACACACTTTGTATACCATAAATAAAACTTTTGATTAGAGCCGTCTGAAATAAAAAATCTTAATAATTCTAGAAGTTATCGAAATCAAAGTATTTCAAAGAAGTTCAATTTTGGCCACAAAATGTTTTTGAAATCTTGCTTTTTTTAACACTTTTTTTTCAATTTCTAACTACTTCCTTTGACTGAAACTAATTATGTATGGTTGAATAGAGGGTGGATGGCGATCTTCCAGGGCGGTTTTTTATTTCTTATTTATATATATAGATTATTTTCGAAATCGAACCAAAGTCAATTTCAAAGAAATTTTGCAAAATCTGAAAAAATAAAATCTCTCCAAAATAATAAATAGTGAAATGATTATTTACCCTCTATAGATAGAACCCCCACCTATGGTCCCATATAAACTGTATTACTAAAATAAATAGTTTTGAAATATGAAGTTTTCAAATGAATATTTGAAATTTTCAATAGTCGCTTTACTTAGTATACTCCCCTGATATATTTTTTTTTATTTTTCATCTCTTTTTTTGGTTTATGAAGAGCACTAATACTCTATTTATAGTTATTTTTTATTCCAAGGATAATTGAAGAAGAAATATTTCGTTTATATTATTGATGTGTCACTAAATAAACCCTTGTATAAAATTTTATACTGCTAGATGTTATAGTAATGCATTTTCGTACAGCAAACTTTCATTCCCTATTCTACTCCCTAAGATTATAAATTTCATAAAATCGCTTTATCCAAATAATTAACTCATGCCTTTTAAATGATCCTTTGTGCCAATTTTTATGTGTATAATCCAGAGGTCACCAGGTTTTATATAAATTTTTACTAACTTTACCCATTTGGCGACAGAGAGGGAAGAGTGGAAGAGATTGGGGGAGACCTATGTCCAACGATGGACCGAAGAGGCTGGATAGATAGACCCATTTGGTTGGTGAATTTCAAAAATCTCTTCTAATTCTTTTTGTAGGATTTCATTCTTCTAAACCACATAGTAAAGAATTTTCATACAACAAATTGTTCCGACATAATTTTACTCTCTAAGAGGATGAATTTCCTAAAATCGATTTGTGTAGCTAATTCACTAATGTCGTTTAAACGAACCTTTGTTCTAATATGTATGTATCTAAAGCTGGCTGTATGAACTGATCCCTAAAATATCTAAAAACTTGATATATAATCTAACTGACAAACCACTGACAATGACAAATAATTTATTTCTGGAGGTATTGCGTGTAGGTGTTTTCAGGTATGTTTTAATATTTAGTCGATTTACACAAAGAAATAGCCATTCCACAATTTAAAATTACTTCATAACAAATCTACACATATATACCTTTCATTTAAAAAAAGAATCATCAAGATTGGTAAAGCAGTTTCGGCGGGATGGATGTAACAAAAAAACCCTGTGAGCTTTTATATATGTATGGATTTTGTTGCAAATATTATTCCTAATCTTAATTTGACAACCGCGTTTCGCTAGCTACTGTAATTTTGGAGTTACGATTTTTTAAAATTTTTAACCCCCTCCCATACCCCATACAACCCCCCACCCCACCAAAAAATAATGGCCAGATTCTCGGGTGCCACAGTATTTTTGTGCCAAATTTAGTTAAAATCGGTTTAGCGGTTTTTGAGTTATCGTGTTACAGACAACGAAATGTTGGCAACTTAACATTTCGTTGGTTACAGACGGACAGACAGACAGATAGACAGACAGACGCCATGAAAATATTTTGTGTTTAGGTCATTTATGACCCAAGTAACTCATTTTGCGTGAAATTAAAAAAACTTTTTTTTTGCCGATCCTAATAGCCTACCATACCTATTGGGATGGTCGGCTAAAAAGCATGTACGCCGCTGATTTTTTTCTCTTGTTAACGAAATAGTGTAAGAATATTAATGTCGATTAAGATTTGTCTCTTGATATTTTGTCGTTCGGCCTCCTTGATGAGATAAACACTATATTATTAATTTGACCTCGATCCAAGTCGAAAAGCAACCTTTAAAAAAAATTATATCATTAACTTGCGAAAGTTTTAAATAAGTATTCATTGATTCCTCATCATAAAGTATGAAAAAAAGTCCCAATAAACATGGGTATGGAAATGCATACTTTTAGAGTTACAGGATGTTAAAACTTTAAAATTATGTTTTTTGTAATTATCTTAAATACTATTATTTTTTTATTTGAAATTGCTCTATGTTGGACTAATAGTAATAATAACTAATAGTAATATTATTTAATAATAAATTAAGTAAAATATGTAATTTATTTATTTTATTTTAATTTTATTAATTGTGATTAATAAAATTTCGTTTATCTCATCAATGAGGCCGATTTCGACAAAATATCAAGAGATAACTTTTAAATTGCATTAAATGGCCTATACAATTTTGATATCAAAAGAAAAAAGCCAGTGGCGCACATGTTTTTTTTTAAATATTCTAGTGACAACCCATATGCACGTCCCTGAATTTATCGACACTTTTTTAGCATTAAAACATGTAGCAATTATAGTAACTTTTACCCTCAACATTTCATTCGAATCACTAAAAGTACTTAAAAGAAAATTTTAATAAATTGAAGGATTATTAAGACTTTAACACCCTGTAGCAACGAATCAAAGCAGAATCGGATCTATGTTGTTATGAAAAACAAATCTTATTTTTACATGAGGAATCTCCCTACGAGCGATGACATATGTTTTTTGAAACACCCTGTCTCAAGATACAACTTTTAATCGGCTTTATTTTGTAGGATATCAAAGAGATCATCCCTACGAGAGATGGCAGATGTTTTTTGAAAAACCCTGTAAATATTTGATGTGTGCGGTCAAAATCAAACTCTAAATAAACAAAGGGTGTGTTTACATTTGGCTTGTATATGTTGGGTCAATACAAGTCAATTATATGGTTTGAAAAGGAAAGCAGAAAAGGGATAAAAAGTTTGGTACCTATATATGTACTTTAAAAATATACCACTAAGATCAGAGAAATAAGTAAAAATAGAGACATTAACTTCCATCTCCTCTAGGTTTATTTATTTCTATGACAATGTTTGATAACTTACTAATCGTATGGATGCGCTTCGTGATTACCCAGAACCGGATATACGGTAGTATTTGGAAATGCCTCAGCAAGAAGCTGTAAGAATAGAGTGATTGCTTCGATGTTGCTCTCTTTTGACGTTTCCCATGATCTGTGGCTCACTATATCTCCAGTAAAGTAAACCATATCAATATCTTGCTAAAAGCACTCTTGTTAATATTCAATTCAAAAACAAATAAAACACCGCTAAATAAAAAGACTATAGGAAAAGAGTGTATCTGTATATCACTGGAATTCAAGTCGTGGCACAATGTCTTTCCGGATTTATACGTTGTGCATTTTACCAATAAAATTATAAATTATGAATACAGTTGAGGGTTTAGAACTTTCGGAGTTACAACAGCAAGATAAAAACATTCAAATTTACCACAATCTTTTATTATAATTAATTTTAAAATAAATTCATTTTTCTAAAATCAATTATAAACGTTAATAGTTTAAATTAACCAAACAAATTTCAAATTTCGGACAATTAGGTGCGTATGAAAGCGTACAAATAAATAAATGTAAAGATAATATGAACTCTAGTTCATATTATTATCTTTACAATGAATTCTAGTTCTTTGTTCCTATTACTCTAGTCTCTGTAATTAATTGTTGGGCTCGGTTGGTTTAAATCACTTAGCTAGTTTTGTCACGTTTGGTGGTACCAACGGAGCGTCTATACAGGGTGCTACAAATTCGAGGTACGAGCACTGGTATCTCGGAAACCGTAATAGATACGAACATGGTTAAATTGGGGCAAAGTTGCTCCTTGGCATGTTCACCAAGATGCCATCAAAAAAGTTTTGGAAATTTCAAGGATTGCTGAATTTTTTGGAAAAAACGGATTTTTTTGAAAATCAATTTTATTTTTTCTTGTCGTTACTTTTTAGAAAATCAAAAAATTAATTACACATTCTCATAACCACTTTATTAGGGCTATCTGATGGTATTTCTAGATTTTCAAATTAGCTGATAATTTGTGAGATACAGAGGCCAACTTATTTTTTTTAAATACGAACCTGCATTGAGTACAATAATACGCCACACTTGATACTTTTTTCTTGTTTGGGATACCTTAACAATAAAAAAACTATTTAATTGTTATTTAAAATAATTTCAAGTCCGACTCTGGTTTTTTAATTTATTTAATCTGATTATATTCAGCACAACAATATTGATCAGCGCTAATTAACATTGAGTAAGGAAAAACACGTCAATTGAAAGATTCAAATAATTAATATCCAGGTCAGCAATTTAAAGTTATCTATTATTTTTAACTTTTTTTATTGTGAATTTGAAATCCCAGTGTACGATCTAATATGCATAATATTAATCGTAGTTATTATAAATAAATCAACTTCTACAAACTAGTTTCTAATGCTCTTCATGTTCGAAAGGGTTACCACCCTCCATAATGCACACATTTATTTTTCATTCAGTCTCATTTATAGCTCTTTGAACATATCTTTTTATACTTCCGAATGCATTTTGTACCCTTTAATTGTTTTTTATTACTCGTTTATTGTTTTTGTACTCTTAATGTTGAAATGTATTGATTTCAAATGTCCGAAACAATTTTTATTGATTTTCTTTATTCAATGTTAATTAGCGCTGATCAATATTGTTGTGCTGCATATAATCAGATTAAATAAATTAAAAAAGTAGAGTAGGATTTGAAATTATTTTAAATAACAATTAAATATTTTTTTTATTGTTTTACCCAAAACAAAAAAAAGTACCAAGTATGGCATATCATTGTATTCAGGAGACCGAGGTCTTTCAAAACCTGAAATAAAAAATGCAGGTCCGTATTTACAAAAATTAAGTGGCCTCTGTATCTCACAAATTATAAGCTAATTTGAAAATCTAAAAATACCATCAGATAGCCCTAATAAAGTTGCTATGAGAATGTGTAATTAGTTTTTTAATTTTCTAAAAAATAACGACAGGCAAAAATAAAATTGATTTTCAAAAAAATCCGTTTTTTCCAAAAAACTCAGCAATCCTTGAAATTTCCAAAACTTTTTTGATGGCATCTTGGTGAACATCCTAAAGCGCAACTTTGCCCCAATTTAACCAAGTTCGTTCTATTACGGTTACCGAGATACCAATGCTCGTACCTCGAATTTGTAGCACCCTGTATAAACGCTCAATTTGTAGATATTAGTTTAGCTTTAATCATCTGCTGTTGATGCTTACATAGTCAGAGAAACGCGCGTCCAGTGCAAAAGTAAATTGTTTTGGTGAATTGTAGTGAATTAGTGTATTATTTTGCTTAAAATGGCTGCCCGTGACATATATATTAGACTCTCTCCTAAGTCTTTTTATTCAATAAAAGCTATATCTTACATGATTTTCTTTAACCCGTGATAGTAAATCTTTTATAGAATGCAATGGTGTATCGCACACCCTGTAGTCTCCCCAATATCCTGCAGCATCTTCAGGATTAGCTGGAGTACCACCGTCACAACACAGCGGTTCGCTACATTTGGCATCACTACCTGAAGTGTACAGTGGATCGTAGTGTACATCGGTTATATGCAGGATTTTCAGGTCGGTAGAGTCATCCTTGGAGAAGATTAAAACAAAATATCAGGAATATAATAGTTATTTATGTATCAAAGGAATTATATGTATACAGGGTGGTCTAAATTGTATTCCGGAAACTTCGGCAGCATATTCTGTAGATAAAAATAAGTAAAAAAGTTCGTATAAATGTATGTCCGAAAATGCTTAGTTTCGGAGATACACGGTGTAGAAGTTTCATTTTTATTTCGAATTTTTCCAAATAATTTCTAAAGTAACGTCAATATTTAGATGAAAATTGGTGTCTGGGAGTTTTTTGACATGGGAAATTTGATTTTGATGTCAATATGACTCCTATTTGTAGGGGGCGCCACCTACATGTGTTTTAGCTGTTTTGAAGAGTAATAACTTTTCGCCGGTATCTGCATAAAACTACTGAGTGAAAAAATATACATTTCCGTAATTTTTTACGTAAAAAATGTCTCTTGGTAAAAATCGCTACCAGCAACCGTTCTCAAGATATTTAAAGTGGAAATAGTCAATACATGTCATTATTGATAAAAATAAACATGTCGAGTAGTTAGTTGACTGAAATTATAAATTTGGGAACTTTTTATTTTTTTAAATTAATCATAAATTTTTCTGCGGAAAAACGATGATAAAACAGTTTCTGTTGAACTTTCTGCACAAAAACATTTCAAATTTATGATTTCAGTATAATAACTATTTAATCAACATGTTTAATTTATGTCAGTGACGATAGGTATTGATAATTTCGATTCCAAATATCTCGAGAATCATTACTCGTAGTAAAAATATATATACAAGGCTCGTAGCGATTTTTACCAAGAGACCTTTTCTACTTAAAAAAACGTCGTAAATGTGTATTTTTCTAATCAGTAGTTTTATAAAGGAACGGACGCAAAATTATTACTTTTCAAAACAGTTATAAAATATGTAAGTAGCGCCCTCTACGTAAGTAGGAGTCATCTTGACATCAAAATCAAATTTCTCATGTCAAAAAACTCCCAAGCACCAATTTTCATCCAAATATTGACGTTACTTCAGAAATTATTTGGAAAAAAATCGAAATAAGATGATATTTTTATACCCTGTATCTCTGAAACTAAGCATTTTAGGACATACATTTATACGAACTTTTTTACTTATTTTTATCTGCAGAATATGCTGCCGAAGTTTTCGGAATACAATTCGGACCACCCTGTATATTTTATATATAAAATCGAGGTTGTTAATACTTCCATATTAAATAATTTTCATGGTACATGAATAATTTTATTTCTTACTGAATTTAGTATACTTTATCCCATTTTAAAACGACCACCTGTTGCATTCATTAATCTTCCGGTATATTTGTATTACCGCTGCTGGTAGAAACTTTGTTTGTTGCCAGGTTACTATTGTATTAAATGACTGTTTATAAAATGACGGTTGTTGCCAATCGAGTACAGTTTTTTTTGCCAAAAAACGGTTTTCGGAAGAATTCGGCATACGTTCGAGTAAGTTTCCATTAAAATCGAGGAAATATTAAAAAAAGCTGAAGAAGCACGATAAGCGTTACTTCCACCTAATAGTGAATCCATTTGCCAAAATGAATATAAAAAATACAGTGGCTTGGACAGAAAAATATTGTAGCAGAGGATGTCCATTGTAAATTTATTAAATACCTACATTATTAAAATAGTTAGATAAGTGTCATTTTCATTTTATATTATTACTCAAAATCTCTATTGTATTTCATGGTTGTTAGCTATACAGTACTGTAGAAATAAGTGCAAGTATTTCAACGGGTAGTATAGTTCAACCTCTGAAACACGCCTATGAGGTCTTTTTCGCGAAAATTTTTTTTTTGAAAATTCGGAATTTTTTGAAAATTTTTTTGGATTTTTTTAGTTTTTAGTTAAAAAACATAATTTCTTGATAATATGGCAACATAGGAAGTAGATTAAATTTACAAGAAAGAAAATCCAGAAAAGATCCCGTGGTTCTCAAAATTTTAACAAAAAATATTTTTTTTGGGAAATTTTCAAAGTAAAATAGCTCCGTTATTTTGAACTTATTTGAAAAACGATAAAGAGAAAATATGTTTCTTTTATCGAGATCTACCACCCCTTAAAATACTTGCACTTATGTCTGGGACATCCTGTATAAGCAAGGAGGAATGATGTCATCTTAATTCCCGTTAATAATGTCTCGAGGGATTTATGAGTCTATTTATGGTTAGCGTAACCAAAAAGATATAAGCTTATATTAATTCAGTAAGAAATAATAGATTTTTTAAAGACATTATACCTTGACAGTTGATCGTTGTGGAGTTTCAGGTAGAGGAGGTAAAGGTATAGTCCAAGCATTTGCCTGTGGATCAACGCAATGGTAATGTTGAAACCTTGTCCCGCAAAATCTGGTCGAAGTTAGATTTTCTTTGTGGTCTATAATGTATAATATAGCATCCTAAAAACAGGAACCAAATTTACACAGAGATGGAAAAAAACATGTGTTTGTTATGGTTTAAAAAAGTTTTTAGTGTTTTAAACACCATTTTAACTCAAAATTGAGGATTACGTCATAAAATACTCGTATTCTTCACTTATTATATATAGAACTTATATATAGAACTATATAAGAACTATATAGAACTTTATAGAATAGAAATATAAAACTATATAGAACTTCATTAAAATACTCGTATTGAAATCTATTTTAAATTATACTTGTGACATAGAAATTGCAAAACCCCAATATTTTTAAACAAAATGTTTAAAATATAACAACACTGGTTTTGAAAAATGGTTTTTCAAATTGTTATTAGAGATATTCACCCCTTAAAATTTTTGCATGTGTTTCGAAACGCCCTGTATACAATAACGCATCGTATGATCGTATCATACGATGAATAGACATCGTACGTCCATGTACCTCATTTTTGGTAATGGCCACTTTCTGAAGTGTTTTAATCTAAATAGCAATTGAGATTATTTAATCTACACCTCTTGAACTTACAATTTCTATATTAATAAATCCCTTACAAGCTGTGCTTCCTTGGTTTGTATATGTCAGACATAGTTTGTTTAAATACACGATCATATCATCTCTAGATGTTCCGTTTCTTCGGTGATCTATGATGTCACCGAATATCTGTTCACAAGCTTCGCAAAACGAGTCTGACTGTTGTGGATTATCTAGTAGATATGCTATTTCTTGACCAGCTTGAATTAAGCTGTCTGGAATGATTTCCAAAATTCGTAGATCTCCAGATTTTTTAATAACTTCAATAAGTGTTTCTGAAATAAAAATTATGACATTTTCCATAAGATCTAATGCGTTAGAGAGAGGCGGAGAATAGATTTGCGGTTACCAGAAAGTAAAAATGAAAGACGTGTTATTATAAGGTTTGTTCCAACATAACAGAGAACCGTTCTTGGTACTAAATGCGTTCCAATAACGAGAGAATAGTTTAGTAAGCGACAAAAAACACGCGAGGAAAATACTGTATGATCGAAAAAAACGGCGCCAGCGATGGTTATGAAATGAAGATCATTTTATATGTAAATTTATATGGGAAATATCAGCGATCGTCATCTCCCAGCCAAAGTGAACGTTTTTTTTTCGATCATACAGTACTAACAGCTACAGAATTATACAAACCATCTTGTGTTGTACAATAAGCAAGTTGAAAAATAATGCACAAACTAACGAAAACAAAACGTAACTTTGACATTTTTGGGAATACTTGAAGCCAGATCTAAAGGTGAAGTGTTTTTATAGTCTGTTTTAGATAAAATCTATAAAATTAGTATTAGATTAATTATTAAAAGCGATAATTAAAACTGGATAATGGTTATTCATGAATCTAATTTGTAAAGTCATTATTTTGATGAATGATTTATCAGCTGATGGAATCTTACAAAAAATCATCTGCTTCATCGATTTTTCAATTATTTTCAATGTTACGGTGTTGCCACTTCATTTTAAAAGTACAGTAGAACTTCGATAGTTCGGACACATTAATTATCGGAACAGTCATCGCCGAATTAATGAATTAAGGAAGTTACTGGAGGAATATGTTTATAACGTTAATCCATAGCATGAAACAGTTACTTTTATTGTTTTCAACCTAATCTCAAAATTTAAACAAATTTTTATTTAAACCAAAACGCAAAACGCTTTGTAAAACATATTAAAACTTCTTTATGTTCTTATAAGGGTGGCTGCAACGACGTCTCGTAATTCTGCTGTTAAAAAATAACAGCTGGTTTTTACATATAAAAACGAATTGTCTTGTTTTAACAGCAGGATTACGGGAGGTCGTTGCAGCCACCCTAAATCGTGCTTATTGTACCTACATGTACCTATATGCACCCATAAGCTAACTCAATTATTACTTAGGTACTACAATATCCATATTAAGTAACCACGCATTTTAATTATAAATCTATACTAATATATAAAATCCTTAAGTGACTGACATACTGATTAATCACGATCCTGCTCAAACCACTCAACGTAAGAAGCTCAATTTTGGCATACAGGTTGATTCTAGGGTGTAGAGGTTCGATAAGAAGGGATTTTTCGAAATTCCAGTTCCAAGAGGGTGAAACCACCCCTCAAATATTACAATATTTTTTATTTAAAAAACGGTCAAGTTTCCGAAAAAGCGCTTAAACACGTATATTTTATTTTGTTTTTTACATATTTTAAGATTTTTTAAAAATATATACAGGGTGTTTCAAAAAATCTGGTCATTGATTAATCACGATCCTGCTTAAAGCGCTTGACGTAAAAAACTGATTTTTGGAGAACAGATTGACTTTAGGGTGTAGAGGTTCGATAAGAAGGGATTTTTCGAAACTCGAATTCTAAGGGGGTGACACTATCCCTCAAATATTAAAATATTTTTTATTTAAAAACCGGTGAGTTTTTGGGAAAAACTCTTAAACACGTATATTTTATTTTGTTGTTTTACATATTTTAAGATTTTTTATAAATTTATACAGGGTGTTTCATAAAATATGACCATTGACTAATCACGATTCTGCTTAAACTGCTTGACGTTTAAAGCTGATTTTTGGCAAACGGATTGACTGTTGGGTGTAGAGGTTCGATAACTCGAATCTCAAATTCCAAGAGGGTGAAAACGCCACTTAGTCTTTCGGGAAAACGCTTGGACAAGCATAATTTATTTGGTTTTTTTACATATTTTGAAATTTTTAAAAAAATCATACAGAGTGTTCCAAAAAGTTGGGTAATTTCATAACAAGGATTCTACTTAAGCTTATTTTTGGTAAACGGAATTTTCAAATTCCAACGAGATGAAACTACCCCTCAAATATTACCAAGTTATATAATAATATCGCTATATTGTTTTTTCTCATGCTGCCGTAAATGTGAGAAAATTTTATCCAGTTTGTATGTTAATGGAAATTCTTGCTTTGCTTTATCATCACCATTACAAATTATTAATTCGACGCGAACGAAGTCGCTGGTACACGCTAGTACTTACATAAAAATGTCAACAAATGTAAAATTAATTTAATTTGAATTGAATTTATCAATTTGAATTAACTGGTTTTTAAAAAAATGAATGGATTATTTTTCTATACTCACTGCCTCAACAGCTTTCTTTTTTTCTCCTTTCAAAAGCAAAATACATACATACATACCATACATATATAAAAGCAAAATATCTTGCTTAGAAACATCGTTTTCTCCTACCCAGTAAATACTTTTTGATAAAGATTTTACAGCATTGCTAAGTTTTATTTTCAAAACAACATTGTTATCCTCTGTTTCACTTAAGTCGATATTTGTTTTCTTTGTCTCCAGTGCCTAGTATTTTCTCTTCAATTAGTCTCTGCCTTATTATACTCTTCAGTTAAACCAGAAATATATTTTTTTCTCCTTAAGATCATTTTTATTTTGTACATGGTTTGATTTTTTTTATTCATTCTTGGTAGATATGATTTTTTTGTTCTTGGCATGTTACGTATCCTTCTTTGTCAATGCAATTCAATCTTGCATTTCTTCAGATAGAGTTGTTTAGTTGGCTCTCATTTTTAGTCAACATACCGTCGGTGGAGATATATATGTAGAAAATATTTATACTAAAATTAATGTAGGGTGGGAGTAGTTTTTACCTTTCCCGTACTTTTTCTTGATTTTTGTGAAAGCCAAATCTTAAAGCACTTAGCAAAAAATCCAACCCCAAAATCTCATTCAAATCGGAATAACGTTTCTTAAAATATCTGAAAAAATGTGTATTATTTTTTCATTTCATTTGTATATGTGTTTAAATTATTTTTTAAAAGTTTGATGCCCTCTAGCGGACAAACGAAACACTTTTGTATAGAGGTAAATTGGATACTACATTGGACATTAATGATGTAAATAAATTATTAAGTAGTTAGATGGGTGTCCTTTTGTTACTTATAAAAGGTAGGGGTTAGGTTATTGTCTCAGGTCTAGGTTAATGTCTCAAGGGAGATATCACTCTATTTATGGTTGGTGTTACCAAGAAGATATAAGCTTATATTAACTCAGTAAAAAATAAATTGAATCTTTTAACTTAATTAAAGAATGTTTACAATATAAATAAAAATAATGCCATTTTCTTTTAGAATAAAAGTCCAGTAAAAGTAAAGGTTTATTTTCCGTAGTATACATGTATGAATATAGCTTACCCGTCTGATTTTTCTTTGTTTGTCTTGAACTTAATAAAGCAAACAATAACTTGCAAGGGAAAACTACGATAAAAATTCCTGCTGGAGCGACTCGCGATTCCAGCAGCGTATAGATTGTTGAAAAATAAGGTTGTGTTTTCCAGGAAAAATTTCTAGGACATTCTCTGGAAACTGCAGCTTGCGACCGAACGTTCTGGAAATATGATTATTTATTGTACGTTGAGAATTTTCCTCCTGTCGGTATCTATTCGCCCAGTTTCAAGGAAAAACTGGAAAAACTAGAGGAGAGTATTTTCGTATTTTCCGACAATGCAGCGTTGTCTCGGAAAATGTTTGTTTTACCTGGATGCAAACATCGTACACATTGGAATGCATCAATCCAACTAGTCTATTTTTTTAGGTCAAAATAGGTACAGTGCGGATTAATAAAAAAAATAAATCCCTATATAAAATTTTTAAATCAGGATTGATTAAAGTATTCAATAAGTTTCGGTCACTTCCTGTTTCACCGGAAATGACTACAACTTTTGATTTTTAAATGGTACCTTCGGTATTTTTCTACTTTATTTAATAGAAAATTACATTCTGAATAGAATGACATATCATATGTCAACTTTTGACATTTTCGCTTAAAAAATAATATTTTAAATTTCAATCTAGAGACAATAAATGTAACAAAAAAATTGACACGAAATATCAATTATGTGGTACCAAATTCTACCCAGCTACCCTCGTTCCATTTGAAAAAATTGAGATATGACTAAAAATACGATTTGGCCATCTTTTAACCGGCCAAGAAAACACACAAAAAACATTAGTATATGAAATTTATTTTTGCAAGGCAAGAAAGAATTTGCTAAAATTTTCGATAAAAAATGTCTATTTCAATCTTCGTAATAAATAATCGTACTAGGCTATGACAAATACCTTTTACGTTTAGGTCATCATAATAGGAGCCCATTTGCGATAACAAACTTGGGAAATATCTCAAACCACTTTCAATACCGCATCGTTATAACTAATTAAATCTTCAGATTTCCATATTATACCTTCGTTACTCGTACGTAGGCAAATCTCGTTAATATATTTATATAGCTCGGTGCAGTAACCGAATTCTTGCACTTGTACAAACAATAATTCTCTCTATCTGCGGCGACCAGCGGATAGCATGAAATCGCAAGTTAATTGCCAATTTCCAAGCGGCTCTCTCTCCATCTTCTCCCGTTCGACGTCCTCCCCCTCCTCGAACCTCCTCACGCCTCCTGCAGAGCAACTCAATCCATTAAACTAGTCGAAGGAAATCTGGCACGATGGAGTTTAACTCTCTAACGAATTGGGTTTGATGCTGAGTTACGGTATAGGAATGTGCCAAAACGTTACTATTTTTCTCAGTATCGATACTCGATATTTTGAATCAATGTTTTGTAAAAGTTAATATTTTAGAGCTTGTTCGGGCTGTCCTATTTTGGCTGAAATCATACGGTATCTCCGTTATTCGTGAAGATAGAAGGGTGCGGTTTGCACAAATCTTTGCCACTTTTTTTGTGAAACGAAAGATGCCGTAAATAACATTTTCATAGTTTTTTTTTCATTTCACTTCGTTTCTGAGTTACAGGGTCTTTTTGAAAATTTTGCAATTTGGGACACCCTCTGTATCTCTGTTATTGTTAATGGTATCGTAGTCTGTTATTGTACGAAAAGAATATTTTTAAAGATATGAAGTAGAGTTATGTTTTTTTTAAATGGAACGCCCTGTATATTTATAAATTATATGATCTGGCTTGCCATATTGCTATATTTATTTTCACTATTTACTGCAATATTTAAAAAAAATATTAAGAGTATAATCATATTTACTAGTATAGGCCATGATTGCTAATAAAAGAAACTAAAGAATTATTAAAAGTATATATATGTCACTGTAAATGTCCGAAATGCGGTAAAACCTAGGATAAGCGCGCTAAACCTAGGATTTACCAAAAACAAGTGGTAAAAGCTCGAAAACTTCTTTATTTTGCTTCCATTTCGGACTATTATGGACCCAAACATTACGTTACTCGTACTTTTAGATTTACAT